TCTGACATGCATGTGCAAATGGCCCACCTCAGCGCTGAGCTTGGGTCAAGCAAAGGCAGTGGCAAAAGCCTTGGAAAAGGCAAAGGTAAAGGCAAGGCAAAAGGCAAGGGCAAGGCACCCCAGCTGGCCTTGGAAGATGGTCCAGAGCCTCCAGAGCCTCCAGAGCCTAAAGAAAAAACACAAGCAGAGCTCCTGGATGACTGCGTGAGAAAAGCCAGGAAGTGCAGAGACCTTGCCTCAGCATGCCAAAACGACCTGCAAGAAGCCTTGGAAAAGGTTGACAAAGCCTTGACAAAAGATGGAAAATCAACAGCACTGCAATGCCTGAAAAGCTTGAAAAAGCATGAGCAGGAGTTGAAGAATGCACTGGCTAAGAAGCCTAGCTTGGAAAAGCTTAGGGCAGCAATCACAGAAGCAACCCAAACCATCAAATGCAGCAAGGAAGAATACAAGGAGCTCAACCAGCTGGCAAACAGGGCAGCCTCCAGGGCAGGAAGCAAGAAAAGCAAAGCCTGACCTTGCAAAAAGCAAGAGCCCAAAAATCTTGCAAAAGGTTGCAGCCCCTCCTTGAAAAAGGACACAACAAGCCAAGACTGCCAGCACTAGATGTGTTTTGCCCATTTTTGCCAAACAACCCTTGTGAAAGGGTAGTAGGCGCCCTCCAACCAAGAAGGGCATGTACAGCTGCAATGCCTATACACAAGCTGGCATGGGACAATGGAAAAAGCTCCAGCATGCTGGGAAAGGGGATGGGAGGGGGCCAGCAAGGGTAAGCAAAAAAAGCCAGCTATGGGTTCCCTTTGCTTTAGGTGCAAGGGGGGGGAACATCAATGGTTGACTTTTGTAAGTCCAGGTGTCCTTATGATTGAGGTTTGCAAGCCTACAGTTTTTTGCTTTGGGGCTGTTTGTCGCTGACTTTTGCAAGTCAAATTTCTGTCCTGCAGCTGTTTTCATGGCTCAGCAGCTTTCTTGCACAACACTTGAAGCTGCCTTGTAAAAGGCTTTGGCCAGACCACAGGCCTACTTTACTTGTTTGCAAAAACAGGTTGCAGCCTTGAAAAAGGCTTTGCCTCATGAGCAAAAACCCTTGCAAAAGGCTCAGGGGCTGGCAGCTGGATGCATCAACTGGCAAGTGCCAAAAAGATGAAAAAGAATCTACCAGCCGTTTGGCAACAAAGCTTTTGCCTTTGTGGGCCCATGGAAAGCTTTCAGCTGTAGCCATACAAGAATTGTCACACTTGGCTGTGCTAGATGGTGCTCAGCATTCAGAGCTACTGTGCCTTGCCCAGGCAGGAAGCTATGGCCAGCACAGTGGCAACACTCATCGTGACATTATGACTCACTTTTGTAAACAATGTGCCATTTGTGAACCCTTCCACATTCAGGTCAGCTGCCAGGACCCAAAAACCAAAAAGACAGTGGAAGAGCAAACAGCTGTTTTTCTTCCTCACCTGCTGTTCAGCAGCCTAGCTAGCAATTATGAAGCAGCATTCCATAGGCTGTTTGGCACATCTTAAGGACTTTTGGGCGCACACCCTTGCAAAAGGGGTGGCAGATTGGAAAGCCACCCTATGGTCCTTGAAAAAGGATGGCAGAGCACCTGTTTGCCTCTGTTTCTTCATGGGGATGGAGTTGAATTTCAATCAAGAGACAGTTTGTTGGTGTTCAGCTTTGGGGCCCTGCTCACTATGGAAAACTCTCTTGACACCCACATGCAGTTGGCTGCCTTTCCAAAGTCTTGCACCACCAAAGAAACATGGGCACCTATTTGGAAGTGGGTGACATGGTCCTTAGAAGCCCTTGCAAAAGGGTTCCATCCTAGCTTTGACCCTGATGGTGCGCCTCTTGCAAAAGAGAGAGCCCCTTCTTTGCCAAGATGGGCCAGCCACTGGCCATGGGATGGGTCAGCTCACAAAAGGTCAGAACATCCAATATTTAGTGTGTCAGGGGTCACTACAAAAATGGTGAGAGGGGACCCACTCCACATCCTTTTTTGCAAGGGCATCTATTCTCATTTACTTGGATCTCTTTTACACTATGTTTGCTTTTATGATGATGGTGCGCAAAGGAAGCAGCCTTGTGAAAGGCTAGGGGTAGTGTTTCAGCAAATCCAAGCAAACTACACCAGCCAGTCCTGCAGAATGACCAACTTGACTATGTCCATGTTTTGCAACCCCAAGAGCCCCTGGTCTGAGTGGGCAAGCCTTAATTGCAAAGGAGGAGAAGGCAAGCATCTTGCACCAGCCCTTTTACAAGTCTTGAAGTGTTTGCTGATGGTAAGAGAGAAGGGCATGCTCATATGCTCACATGCTTTGCAGTGCATTTGTGACATGGCTCTCTGGGACACTGCTGGCATTTTCCTGTCCCCTGCAGAGTTTGAAAAAAACTATGGCCCTTGCAAAAGGGTTTTGTGAGCAGTATGAGTGGCTTAACACATGGGCCAGCAGCAAGGACAGGTTCTACTTTCACATAGTAAACAAGCACCACAGCCTGCTGCACCTTGCAAAAGGTGCAAAGTTCTTAAACCCCAAAACTCATTGGTGCTTTCTTGCAGAAGACTATGTAGGCAAAATTTCCAAAATTACCCATTCAGTGAGCTGTGGGGTCAGAAGCACTAAGCTTTCTACTAAGCTTGCGTCCAAATACAGGGTGCTTCTTCATCTTTTACTTACAAGGGAAGGCTTCACCTTTGAATGGATAGCTTCTGACTCCCGTGTGCACAAAATGCATAGCCCTTGCAAAAGGGCTGTTTGGCTTGCTTGCGAGAAAAAAAGGAGTATCAGCAAATGTATATATGTCATGGGACTTTCTGAAAACATTGGTCTGGAGTCCCTGGAGGTTCACAACATGCAGCTTCATAAGGTTTCATAAGGCTGTTTTTGGTTCTGTAAGAACAGAAAATATTGATTTTCAGGCTGCAAAATATTGATTTTGTTATTGAATCTGAAGGGTTTTCCCAGATGGTGACAATATTGAAATTAAGCTTCAGAAAAGGGCTTCAAAATATTGAAGTTAGAACACCAATATTTCAATATTTAATGTTGAAATTCCACTCTTTTCAAAACCCATTTCAATATATTGATCCTATTCAATATCCGATGCTCAGGGTAGCACAGATTCATCGCACAGAGAGTCACTTGCGAGGCGCAATGCTCGTGAGACTCACTGGCAAGGAGCAACGCTCGTGAGAGTCACTGGCGAGGAGCCATGTTCATGAGAGTTCTCCTGAGAGGATGCTTTTTTCTTTCTTCTCTTCTTAGGGCGGCGGGGTAGGGCCGACAGCACTCTACGAAAACCAACCCTCTACACAAATAGCGTGGTCGACATTAAAAAACAGGACTTTTTGCGATGTCTGATCTGCGCTATGATCTGCGCTCTGCGGAGATCGGCGTGGTCGACGTTAAAAAACAGGACTTTTTGCGATTTCTGCGGAGCGCGCGACCCTCTGCAAAGATCGGCGTGGTCGACGTTAAAAAACTGGGGACTTTTTGCGATTTCTGATCTGCGTGTGCGACCCTCTGCGGAGATCGGTGTGGTCGATGTGAAAAATGAGGACTTGTTGCGATTTCTGCGGTGCGCGCGCGACCTTTTGCGGAGATCGGCGTGGCCGATGTTGAAATACTGAGGACTTTTTTCGATTTCTGATCTGTGCGCGCGACCCTCTGCGGAGATCGGCATTGTCGATGTTGAAAAACTGCGGACTTTTTACGCTTTTTAACATGCCCGAGCGACCCTCTGCGCACATCGGCGTGGTTGAAGCGCTGTCGCTGCAGCACCGTGCGACTTTGCAAAGTGCCAGACGAACCGTGTGTGTCAAAGCGCTCTCGTGTGGCGCGCGAATTTGTTGCTTGCGAGCTGGTCTTTGGATTGCGCGGCTGCTCTCGGAGTCGCACGGTCGCGGGTTCGATCCCCGCCTGGTCCGCGGCAGCTTTTCTGGACAGAAATCGCAACTTGTAAGTGCAAACGTAGTATGCGAACGCAGCCGGCTGGAAAATCGCAACTTTTAAGTACAAACGTACTACGCGGAGTACAGTCCTGCAGCCCCGGCTGCACAATGGAACTTTTCAAGTAGAATACTAGTATGCGAAGTACTTCCTGAAGGCTCCAGCAGCACTTGCGCAGAGCAACTTGCACAGGGCGCTTACGCAGAGCAACCTGCGCAAAGCAACTTCCACAGAGCAGCTAGCGCAGGGCAACTTGGGCAGAGCAAAAGTCAGGTTGTTCCGTTGGGAGAACTATTATCATGAGAGTCATTGCACAGAGTCATCATGAGAGTCATTGCACAGAGTCATCATGAGTCATTTGCGTTGTAGTCACTGTTTTGCATGAGGGCGGTATATGTGTTGATGTGCTTGGCAAACTCGTGTGAGCGGGAGTCCGATATAGGTAGCACGATAGCAGGAACAAGGTTAGTTGCTGGGACTTGTCGTTGTGTATTGCTCGTGACCAGTTCAGGTATTGCGAATCTGTGGCAGTGCTATCTCAGCATCGGCTCAAGCGCATATCGTGGAGCGCGAAGTACCTAGACTCCAGGCAGGCGCGGCTCGTCATGGCCTGCCGTGGCTTGAAGGGGAAATCGCAGCCACGCGCAAGAAGAGAAGAACATAATCTAAGACCTGCTCGCCGCGAAACTAAAAGTCGCGAACAACAAGCGAAAGTGAAGTGCTCCTCTTGTTCCACAGTAGAGGAAACGCCGTCAAAAGTGAAGTGCTGTAGCTGCTGGCTGTTTGTAGCTGACAGATTGCACATCGAGCAAAAAACTCGCGCGGGAATGATCACGGGGCTGTGATGCTTTCGGGCCAATCGTGGTCTAGTGTTTAATTTTGTTGTTTCTTGGTTTGTTTATTGGTTTGTTGTTTGTCTGTCTGTCTGGCTTGTTTGTTTGTTTGTTTGTTTGTTTGTTTGTTTTGTTTGTTTGTTTGTTTGTTTGTGTGTGTGTGTGTTTGTTTGCCCGTGGTTGTGTTTTTTTAGTGCATGTGTTCTGTCCGTTTGTGCGTCAGGCAGAGCACCTGCAGCCCGAGCTTCTGACTAGCAAGCCAGTGGCCAAAGTGGGGTTCATCCAACGCTCTATCTTCAAGGCGGTTCTGCGTGTCGTGGTGCGCTGTGTTGTTTGTGAGCTTTCGGAATTCGAGTGCAGAATTTATATACAGCAAGCTCACCGATTCGGGATTAGTTCTGTTTGCAAGTATCGTACAATTTGCAGATTCTCTGGCTCCCTTGTTGTTGTTCGCGTTTGTGGTGGGGCACATTTTCTTCGCGTTTCTGGTCCTCCCTTAGGCGCAGCGCTACGGGCCCAGCTTCGCGCTTCACGCGGACCTGGCGCTGCGGGCCACACTGGTGGCGGTCTTCTGCGCCGCCACCTACTCCCCGGCACTGCCCTTCCTGCGGCGTGGCCGGATGGCCGGGGTGAGCCACGGGCGAATTTTAAGAGGAGGTCCACCAAACCTTGGTCACACTTCCTAATAGGTGCCCAAAATGGAACCTTGGTAAATGGAAAGAAAGACTAGAACCTGCGGTCCTCTGGTGGTTTAATTTTGGTCCAATACCCATATGTAGAAAAGGGCTGTCCAATGCTTGGTTTACGACTTTTGCACCTCTTGGCCTGGGGAAGCCCAAATGGAAATTGCCATCTGTTCGTTAAGGGGTTTTTAAGCCTATCAAAGGAAGTTTAGAAGGAACTTCCGTGTTACGGCAACTAATTGAAAGCTAGCTCTCCCTGAGACAGATGACAAGAGAAGGAGTAAGCGCGCGAGAAAAGATGCGCGCGCATGTGGTGGGAGAACAGAAGTGCGCCAAAAGCGTGGCCCTGTGCGTGAATTTGCACGTCCGGAGAACTGAAAGCTAGCCTGTTCGCGGCACCTGGTCGGACCATTGTCGGACCATTCTCGGATCATTCTCGGATCACGTTCGCAGCGCGGGCCCATTGGCACGGCAACGCGAAGGTTTCGCAAGGATTGAATTCCGTGGCAGGCGCAGTGCTTTTGCAAGGTAAGGTACAGATTTCGTGGCAGGCGCAGCACTTTCGCAAGGTCAAGTTTCCCAAGGATTGAACTGCGTGGCAGGCGCAGCACTTTGGCAAGGTGAGGTACAGATTTCGTGGCAGGCGCAGCACTTTTGCAAGGTCAAGTTTCCCCAAGGGTTGAATTGCGTGGCAGGCGCAGCTCTTCCGCAAGGTCAGGTGCAGAAATCGTGGCAGGCGCAGCACTTTCGAAAGGTCAGGTGCAGATTTCGTGGCAGGCGCGTCACTTTCGCAGGGTCAAGTATAGATTTCGTGGCAGGCGCACTTTCGCAAGGTCAAGTACAGATTTCGTGGCAGGTGCAGCACTTTCGCAAGGTCAGTCGCCAAATTCGTGGCAGGCGCATCACTTTCGCAAGGTCAAGTACAGATTTCGTGGCAGGCACAGCACTCTCGCTCGTTTAGGTACAGATCGATAGATAGATAGATAGATCGACTAGATAAATGAACAGAGACAGACATAGATAGATGCATAGATGGATAGACAGTTAGATAGATAGATAGATAGAAAAAGATAGAGAAAACAGAAAAATAGACAGCTAGACAAAAAAAAGAGAGATCGATAGATAGATAGATAGATAGAGAGAGAAAGATAGATAGATGGAAATATAGATAAAAGAAATAGGTAGATAGATAGATAGAGAGATAGACGGATAGATAGATGAAAGATAGAGAAAATAGAGATAGATAGATAGACAGATAGATAGATAGATACATAGATAGATAGATAGATACAGAGATAGATAGATAGATAGATGGATAGATAGATATTTAGAGAGATAGACGGATAGATAGATAGATAGAGAGATAGAGAGGTAGAAAGAGAGAAAGAGATGGATAGCTAGAAAGATAGATAGAAAGATAGATAGAGAAAGAGATAGATGGATAGATAGATAGATAGGTAGAGAGATAGATAGGTACACGAGAGATAGATAAAAAGAAGAAAGAAAGATAGATAGATAGAGGGACAGATAGCTACACGAGAGACAGATAGACAGATAGAGAAAGAGAGAGATAGATAGATACACGAGAGATAGGTGGAGAGAGAGAAAGAGAGAGAGAGAGAGAGAGAGAGAGAGATGGATGGATAGATAGGTAGAGAGATAGAGGGATAGAAAGAGAGAGAGACAGAGAGATTGATAGAACGATTGACAGAAAGAAAAGAGATAGATAGATAGATAGATAGGTAGAGAGATAGATAGATAGATAGATAGATAGATAGATAGATAGATAGATAGATAGAGGGACAGATAGCTACACGAGAGATAGACAGATAGATAGATAGATAGATAGATAGGTAGAGAGATAGAGAGGTAGAGAGATAGATAGATAGATAGCTAGAGAAGTGGATAGCTAGATAGATAGATAGATAGATAGATAGAGAGATAGATAGGTACATTGGGAAGAGAGGGATAGATAGATCGATAGATAGATGGGTAGATAAATAGATAGATAAAGAGGTATATAGGTAGATAGATAGATAGACATCAAAGAGGGAGATAGACAGATGGATTGGTAGATAGATAGATAGATAGATACTAGATAGATAAACAGAGAGAGAGACATAGATAGATGCATAGATGGATAGACAGTTAGATAGATAGATAGATAGGAAAAGATAGAGAAAACAGAGAGAATGACAGCTAGACAAAAAAGAGAGAGATCGATAGATAGATAGATAGAGAGAGAAAGATAGATAGATGGAAATATAGATAAAAGAAATAGGTAGATAGATAGAGAGATAGACGGATAGATAGATAAAAGATAGAGAAAAAGAGATAGATAGATAGATACATAGATAGATAGATAGAGAGATAGATAGATAGATAGGCAGAGAGATAGATAGGTACACGAGAGATAGATAAAAGAAAGAAAGAAGAAAGATAGATAGAGGGACAGATAGCTACACGAGAGATAGACAGATAGACAGATAGATAGATAGATTGATAGATAGATAGAGGAAGAGAGAGAGATAGATAGATACACGGGAGATAGGTGGAGAGAGAGAGAGAGAGAAAGAGAGAGAGAGATGGATAGATAGATAGATAGAGAGATAGAGAGATAGAAAGAGAGAGAGAGAGAGATAGATAGGTAGAAATAGAAAGATGGAAAGAGAAAGAGATAGATAGATAGATAGATAGATAGATAGATAGGTAGAGAGATAGATAGATAGATAGTTAGAGGGACAGATAGCTACACGAGAGATAGACAGATAGATAGATAGATAGATAGATAGATAGAGAGATAGAGAGGTAGAGAGATAGATAGATAGATAGATAGATAGATAGATAGAGAAGTAGATAGCTAGATAGATAGATAGATAGGTAGATTGGGAAGAGAGGGATAGATAGATAGATCGATCGATGCATGGGTAGAAAGTTGATAGATGGGATATAGGTAGATAGATAGATAGATAGACATCAAAGAGAGAGATAGATAGATGGATGGGTAGATAGATAGATAGATAGATAGAGAGGTAGACAGACAGATAGAAAGATACACAGATAGAAAGATAGATCGATCGATAGATAGATAGATCGAGAAATAGATAGACAGATAGATAGATACATATATTGATAGATAAGAGAGATATAGATAGATAGATCGATAGGTAGATGGGTAGATAGATAGATAGATAGATACAGAGGTATATAGGTAGATAGATAAATAGATAGATAGATAGACACATCAAAGAAAGAGATATAGATAGAAAGATAGACAGACAGATAGATAGATAGACAGATAGATAAATACATAGATAGATCGATAGATAGAAAGATAGATAGATGGAGAGATAGGTAGACAGATAGATAGATAAATAGATAGAGAGATCGCTAGACACAGAAAGAACTATAGATAGATAGATAGATAGATCGATAGAAAGAGAATGATCAAAGGAAGTTTAGAAGGAACTTCCGTGTTACGGCAGCTAATTGAAAGCCAGCTCTCTGAGACAAGATGCAAGAAAAGGAGTAAGCCCGTGAGAAAAACTGTGCGCGTGTGTAGCAGTTAAGAGAACGTCGTTTAAAGCGTGGCCCTGCGCGTGAATCGGCGTTTTCAAAGATAGGAAAGTCGCAAAAAGCGTGGCCCTGTGCGTGAATTGACGACTCCGGAGTTGCAAAAGCTAGCCTGTCCGCGGTGTCTGGTCGGAGCGGGCTCGGAGCGTGCTTGGAGCATGCTCGGATCACGTTCGGCGCCGGGCCCAATGGCACAGCAACACAGAGGTTTCGCAAGGTTTGAATTGCGTGGCAGGCGCAGCATTTTGGCAAGGTCGGGCCAGGTCGGGTGCAGATTTCTTGGCAGGCGCAGCACTTTCGCAAGGTCAGGTTTTCCCAAGGTTTGAATTGCGTGGCAGGCGCAGCACTTTCGAAAGGTCAGGTACAGATGTCGTGGCAGGCGCAGCACTTTCGCAAGGTCAATTATAGATTTCGTGGCAGGCGCGGCACTTTCGCAAGGTCGAGTAAAGATTTCGTGGCAGGCGCAGCACTTTCGCAAGGTCACGTACAGAATTCGTTCCAGGCGCCGCGCTTTCGCAAGGTCAGGTATAGATTTCGTGGCAGGCGCAATTTCGCAAGGTCAAGTGCAGAATTTGTGGCAGGTGCAGCACTTTCGCAGGGTCAAGTGCAGAATTCGTGGCAGGCGCAGCACTTTCGCAAGGTCAAATTCACAATTCGTGGCAGGTGCAGCACTTTCGCAAGGTCAGGACTTCGCGTACTACTTTCGTGCTTAAGAGTTGCGATGTTCGAGCCCCGGCTGCGAAAGTGGACTTCGCGTTCTACTTTCGTACTTAAAAGTTGCGATTTTGGAGCAGCTGCGAAAGTTGACTTCGCGTACTACTTTCGTACTTAAAAGTTGCTTCGAGCCCCGGCTGCGAAAGTTGACCTTCGTACGCGAAGTCAACTTTCGCAGCTGGGTCTAGTAGTACGTGAAGTCCACTTCCGCAGCTGGGGCTGGAAAATCGCAACTTTTAAGTACGAAAGTAGTACGTGAAGTCCACTTTCGCAGCCAGGGCTCAAAAATCGCAACTTTTAACTACGAAAGTAGTACGCAAAGTCAACTTTCGGGGCTTGAAAATCGCAACTTTTAAGCGCAGATATGATATAGATGGAGAGATAGATAGATCGATAGATAGGTAGATAGAAAGAGACAGAGAGATAGATAGATAGAAAGAAAGAGAGATAGAGAGATAGATAGAAAGAAAGAGAGATAGAGAGATAGATAGATAGATAGGTAGATAAATAGATAGAGAGGTAAATAGAAAGAAAAAGAGATAGAGAGATAGAGAGATAGAGAAGAGATAGAGAGATGGATAAATGCACGTGATATAGTGAGATAGAAAGAGTAGATAGATAGATGAAGAGATAGACAGATAGAGAGAGAGAGAGAGAGATAGATAGATAGGTAGATAGGGGGATACATAGTGAAATAGAGAGGTAGATAGATAGAGAGATAGACAGATAGAGAGACAGATAGATAGATAGATAGATAGATTGATAGATAAATAGATAGATAGTTACGCGGGAGATAGATGGAGAGATAGATAGATAGATAGATAGAAAGAGATCGAGAAAGAGATAGAGAGATAGAAAGAAAGAGAGATAGAGAGATAGATCGAAAGAAAAAGAGATAGAGAGATAAATGCATAGATAGATAAACAAACAGAAGATAGATAGATAGATAGATAGATAGAAAGAGAGATATATAGAAAGAGAGATAGATAGATAGATAGGTAGGTAGATGGATAGAGAAATAGATAGATAGATAGATACATAGATAGAGAGGTAAATAGATAGATAGATAGACAGACAGACAGATAGAGAGAGAGAGATAGAGGGATAGATAGAGAGATGGATAGATAGAGAGATAGGTAGATATATAGATAGAGAGATAGAGAGATATATAGATAGATAGAGAAGATAGAGAAGATAGAGAGAGAGAGATAGATAGATAGATAAGCAGATAGATAGATAGCACGAGGGATAGATAGATACGTAGTTAGGTAGATAGATAGGTAGAGAAAGATAGATAGACAAGCAAACGAAAGGAAGAAAGAAAACACAGATAGAAAGAAGGAAAGAAGGGAGGAAGGAAAGAAAGGAAGAATGACGGAGAAAAACGAAACAATGACAAGGAAGAAGAAGAGAAAAAGAGTCAAGAAAAGAAAGAGAAAGAGAACTATAGTTTTTATACTTTTGAAACTTCCGCCCACCGGCTTCGCCGGCTCTACTGGTATAATATGTCTGAAAGGGGGTTGTTAACCGACTGTCCTGTCTTTTTATTGTGTAGTCTGCGGATGCGGACTCACTAAAAAAGCAAATTGTGCTCAACCTTGGATGTGTGGTCCATTGGGGACTGAATTCCGTGCAACAAAATAACAGGGAGGCCTTGAGTTGTTCTTTATTTTCTGCGTTTGGGCTTTGAACAGCCATTCACAGGATAGGTGTGCGGATGTCACTGACCCAGGCATAGCAGGGGGGATCATCCCCGAGGATGTATTGAACCAGGGTGGCAGTAGTTTCTTCATTTGATCAAGAAAGGAGCATAGCTACCCTTTTTAAGCTGAGGACAACAATGACCTTTCGGTCTCCCTTCTTTCAATGCATTTCCATTGAAAGAACCCAATTACCCAAGTTCCCCCCCCAGCCGTCGCACAATGTGCCCATCAGGAAAAGACAAAACCTCTCACAGCTGACCATCAATCATCCTGTGTGCATGGTTGAAAGTTGAGGGCCACCAAAGGTGAAGGGCTGCACGATCTAACGTCGTCGGCTTCCTGCAGATTGCTTTTTGCGAGCAGCAAAATGGGCGGGAGGCGCTAGGTTCTGTCTGTCAGCTTGGGCAGATCACCTGCCTTCCTAGAAACAAACGCGCGAGGAAACAAACAAACAGAATACGTTGCTTCGAGCAATCCCCACCCTCCACACGCACGAGCTTACGACCCTGAACACAGTTGTGTGAATTCAAGTTTTTGAGTGGCTTGGGGCCTGTCTGTGTGTCGAACTCCACTTGTCTGCGAGCCGATCTCGAGAACTCAAACATCGGTTCCGTTATTAAACGAAGTTGCTTATTCACAACCCAACACAAAAGCATCACCCTTTCCGAGCCTCGACATACACTCAAAACACGAAGGCACCAACATCAAATGTAAACCCAACTGCGCGCCGGGCAGGAGCCACTCTGGCGGGATACTCGGGATCCACTGGCGGGATACTCGGCGGGATCCACTATCGACCTGCTCTAACGGGATCCACTGGCGAACTACTCTGGGATACTCAGCGGGATGCTCGGCGGGATCCACCGGCGAGACGCTCCCGCGGGGTACTCGGCGCAATTTACAGGCAAGCAGCTCTAGCGGGATACTGGGCGTCTGGCGGGATACTCGGCGGGATCCACTGGCGAGCCGCTCTGGCGGGATACTCGGCGGGATCCACTGACGAGCCGCTCTGGCGGGATACTCGGCGGGATCCACACTGGCGGGATACTCGGCGGGATCCACTGGCGAGCAGCTCTGGCGGGATACTCGGCGGGATCCACTGGCGAGCTGCGCTGGCGGGATACCCACTGGCGAGCTGCTCTGGCGGGATACTGGGTGGGGGCGTGGTGTAGAAGCATCGCAAACGCGGATTCCAACATAAATCTAACAACCCCTTCCTGTCGGGTGGGGATTAAGCATGCGAATGAAGAATCAATCCCTTTCTGACTTTCTGACTTACTTGCGTGCTTGTTTGCTTGCACCCACAGCCAGGCAGGCAGGCAAGCAGGCAGCTAGCCAGCCAGCCAGACAGCCAACCAACAGGCAGGCAAGCAAACAAGCAAGGCAAGCAAGAAAGCAACATAAGATAACATAAGCCACAAAAAACAAACACACAAAAGACAAGTAAACAATACAACAAACCGATGCCTCACCAATCAATGGGTTTCACCGATTCTAAAAATGGCGTGGATGTGGATCGTGTCAGGCATTCTCCGGACCAGGCTTCCAAAGCCGGATGCCCGTTTTAGCGGTTGAATTGAATCATTGAAACCTGCCAACTAGAGTTTACAGGGGTGGATCCGATTGAGAGCAAATCTCAGATAGCCCGAGCGCGGAACAATATGTTTGGCAGCAATTAAGGGTTGACCCTTCCAACAGCGATGCCATTCTGTATCAGTGTCACAGGCTGCAGATGTTGCAGCCATGCACGGGTGTTGTCAAAAGTATCTTGTTTAGGCATGCGCTCACGGGTTTTCCACAACACCCCCGTCGCTAATATACTGAGGTCCTGGTGGCAAGAACAAGGCTGGTCGATGAGCTACTCAGCCCAAAGCCAGCCGTTTGATTTCCGCGCGCCCGATGTTGCATGGCCCCTAAGGTGCTCCCCGGCAGATGCGGAATCTTTTTTGTGTCGGGTTCGGGGCCCTTTTGAGTTGTAGGCGGTATAGGGTTTTCCTGGTCGTTTGGTTGGACTTTCAAGGACAAAGTACTCCTGGCAGGATGGGAATCAAGCGTCAAACTGTACAACTTGGAACCCTCTTTTTCAAAGTGGTTGGTGGGCACAAAAGCCCCCACCTACATGATATACTCTTTTTGAGGTCCATGAACATGTATCATTCGCATTTTGTTTGACTCAGGTGGGTACGGATCAAAAGCAAACCAGCATGAAAAACCGCGAGTTTTAGTCCAACTTTACATTTGCCAGGGCAACCCATTTGGTGGATTCTCTTGTGGACCCAGTAAACCACCATTAAAAAAAACGCAGGCTTGGTCACAGTTCCGCTATACCAGGGTTCCGTTTTGGGGGATTCTATGGTGGACCCACAGCCAGGTGACCTGTTTTGTGTTTCCTAGGTTATGTTGTGGTGATCCTCGCCTTCACCCTCTACTTGGACCTGGGCAGCACCGTGCAGTCCGTGCCTTTGCTCTCAAGCCTTGGAGCCCGCAAGGTTCTAAGAACCCGGTGGTGCGGGGGCCTAAGGCCGCTAGTTTTTGTTGGGGTTATTTGTTCGCAAACTGTTTGGATCAAAGGTCGTGCCGCCTTTGAGTCGAAGGTGTGCGAGTTCGCTGCTTGCACGTATGTTGGTGCCCCATTTCTTGAGAGGACCCATCGAATGCTTTCGTGTTGTTCGGGCAGCGGTGAAGCCTCTAAATTCAGGTGCCCCTCGATTGGATTTGATTTGAGCAGCTCCTTTTGAATCCAAGGAGGTACCCCGGTCCAACCAAGCCAACAAGGGTCATTGGACAGGGATCACTGCTTCAGGCAGGGGTTTTTCACGGTTCCTTCAAGGGACTGGTGGAAAGAGTTTGTTTTCTTTTCCTGTCACTTTTTCTTCCTGTTTGGGCAATAACCGCCCCTGCAAGAGGATGGATGGCCTGGTTTAAGTAGCCACTCTTACCACGATCCGATTTGAGCAGCGCCCAACTCCTCGATAGGAAATCTTAGGGGGTTCTGCTTCCTGGTTTGGCAAGAGTGACTGTGATGCCTATCTGGACTTGTGGGCTTGTGATTCTCGAGGGCACCCGTATTCAGGTTGGATTAAAGAAAAACAGCAGGGGCGCCACCATATATTGGGTCTGAATATCCATATCGGCTTTGACCCAGTACAACCATGTATCCATTTGTTCATCCATTTCAAGCGTTACAACCATGTCCACCATTCCAACCATAATGACCAACATCCGCACAAACATATCCACTATATCGATCATACATATCCATTTGCTTTTGCTCCAGGACCTTGTCAGTATATGTAGGTCCAGGAGTCCAGAATAACTTTTTATAACCTGAGGCGGAAACGGCCCGCATCCGAGGCTTGGGGGGGGTTCTATGGCACCTTGCTGCCGGTGCTGAACTGCTGGCCGCGCCCTCGGCTCCGATCTTTGGCCGTAAGGAACCGATGCGCCAGCCTCGTTTCAGCTCGATTCGATTTCTGGGTGCCATTGATCCATGTTGAGAATGAGGGCAAGTTGCTTTTCTAGTTTCTTTGCACGAAAACATCACAAACTATTCACACACTACCAATGCGTGTTTTTTGCTTTAAGCAAACAAGCATGAACGCCAAATCTTTTGCAGCGGTTGGTGTTGAAGGGAAACCACAAAACAACACACGTGTGCCTTGAAACAACCTACTGTGGATGGACGATCAGTAGGTCTGGCTTTTCATTATAGCTTGCACCCACTGATCCGCAAGGCAAAGCTTTGATTGGAGTTGGCTTTCCGGGCTTAGAGGAATTGCAGTGCTCTTCAGCTTGGGACGGCCCTTTCGGAGATACCTGGGCCGGGGATGCTTTTGTTTGGCTGGGCTTTTCGCTTATGTAACGACCCTTTGGAGGAGAAGAGCAGGGCTTTGGAAGCGCCTCCATCCCCGCTGAACCCCGGCTCCGAGTCAGGGTAGATTCCCCGTGAAGTTGATCTATTCGCGCCGAAGCTTCGTTTGGAAGGAGCTGCGATATTTTTTTGACTTCGGAATCTTCCCCAGAATTAGCTCCCCTCTTTGATTTGTGTTTTCGCTGTTTTGGAATTGGTCCCCTTTGTTTTCCACCGACCTGGCAATTTTTTGTTTTTTGTGCTGGGGTCCTACTTCCAGCCTAGAGAATGTGAACCTGCGGCCCCCCAAGAAATCGATCGTTTCGCAGGTAGCGCGCAGAGGCACCTCCCAAAGTTTTCTGAGCTTCGGTGGGTGAACTACGACTAGTTCACGCAGGCGTTCGTTCAAACTATTTCTATGACTACTTTCTCTCTCTCTCTATGACTGGCAGGTAAGGCTGTTTGCCAGAGGCCTCGCTCCTGTAACATCGACCACAATGACCACACATTTGCCCCTGCCACTTAGTTGCAGTCCCAAGATTGTAGAGCCATCGTGCTAGAAGGGTAGATAATTCATGCTTCCCTAAACTTCGTACTGTGGAAACCTTTGGAAACGTTGGCACATGTTTCAACCGAACGAGTTTCAACCAGCTTCAGGCCACTCGAAGCCCAGGCAGGCTGTGCAGAATTCCGGCCCGAATTCCGCAGGCTCATGTTCGCAGTCTACCCCCATGGTGTCACGGACGACGATGCTGGAAGCTACGTTTTTGGTGCCCGGTTGCAATCTGCGGCTTTCTGAGAGTTGCGCCCAAAACAGCTGTTGGCCGGTTTAGTCGAGGATTTTGTGCCAAGGCCATGACAAGGCCTCTAGATATGATACCCATTTGGGCAGAACAGAGGGCCAGTAGGTTTTGGGCGCCGCTCAATTGTCCTTGATTTTCTCTGGTGTTTCAAGCCGAAAGCCATAAGCCGGCAAGCGCCCCTTTTCCATTGGGAACCACCGTGCAATTCAGCTTGGGCGAACTTCCTCATCTTCGTTCTCCTTACCTTCACCCTGAACCTGGCAACCCTGGCGAAGATGTACGCGCTGTGCCTCAGCAGTTTGGGGAGAGGGGTGCAGCTTGGGGGGTGGGAAGGTTCGCTGACAAAGCAACGAGCCAGAGCAACTCTGCCAGCCATGACCAAGCTATCAAGTATGATGTCCTGACGCTTTCTTTCGTGCAGGCTCCGTGCAAATCAATCCACGCTAGTTGAGTTCCTCCGAAGAAATCCTCGATAAGTTAAGAGAAAAGTCAACGCTCCAAAATGTGCCACTTTGCAACTCATAGAATACAAACATGGGGGGTGTCCAACATGTCGACTTTTGATGTCTTTGTTGCTTTCCAGGGAGCATGATTCCATTCCTTCACATCCAATGGCCCCCCCCAAGCCAAAGACATACTCGCACACAATTCAAGGTTTATTGTCGCCCTTTCATGGTCTATGTTTCCACTTACCAGGGCAACCCATGTGGGGGTGATCAATTCAAGGTTTATTGTCGCCCTTTCAATCAGGTGTTGACCAATTTTAGCTCCGTGTACTCGGAATGCGGGGATCATAGGTGTCCTTTTTGGTTGGTTTGCTAAAAAAATCGAAAAGTTCCCCTGGTTTAGATGAAATTTATTCCATTTACCCAACAGGCCACCTATGGCGTGGGTGTGATCGAGGTCTTGGCAGGCCTATTTCACCATGTGCTTCTTGAACCCCTCGGACACCACCGTCTTCAGCCGTGGCCTGGCGGACGTTCAGCTGCACGCCGCGGAAACCGGGGCACTCATGGGCAGCATCATCGGCTTTCTGCCACTTGGACCCGGAGTCGAAAGTGTTCGGCCTGAGATATTTTTGTCTATTTGGTTGAAACTTTTGACCTTTTTGGACAAGACTGTGGATTTTCCATCGGACCCACACGCAATTACAACTCTTGCAGCTTTTCTTTGTTGTTGCCTTTTTTTTGTACTAGTGAGCTTGCGTTGTGTGTTAGTTGGGTAGTTGTCCTGCATTTGTCCGCTGTATGTACTGGCTTTGCGTGTTTCTGTGTCTCTGTGTCTGTCTCTGCGTGTCTTTGTGTGTTTTGGTGTGTGTGTGTGTGTGTTGTGTTGGTGTGTGTGTGTGTGTGTCTGTTGGGTATGTGTGTTTGCTTGTGCGCGTGCGTATGCCTCGCCGTGTTTGTCTCTGTGTCTGTCTCTGTGTGGTCTTGGTGTTGCTTTGGTGTGCATGCGTGTGTGGGGTCGGCTGCGGGCACTGCTTCAACTCCAAGTGACTGGTCAGCATTGGACTTCTTTGCCGGCCTTCCTTTCGACATTCTTGAACAGATATGCCGGTTGTTCTTCATGGCAATCCAAATGGGTTTGTTTGTCGGAAGCCAAAAGGACAGCTATCATTTTTTGGGTCCAAATGCCTGCTATGACACATTCACGAAAGGCGTTTACCTTTCATTCCTTGTCGGTTGGTTGCAAGCGAGTAGACAAAGTAGACTTTCAGGCTATACGGAGTCAGGCAATATCAGCCACTTGCTGTAAGTGTCAAAGGATGCACGTCTTGTGCCCACTTTCAAGGAACATGGAGAAATATGGAGAATGATCTTAGGGTTCCGTAGTTGCTCTGAATGGGTCGTCTTGAACAGCAGCTAGGCATAGCTAGGCGCTTTTAAAGGGAGTTTTTTTGGGTGCGTTGATCTGAAAGCGGACACTTGGAAACAGATAGACACACCCCTGCTAACAAAGCATGGGCAGAACAAATTCGCGATGCCAGGGTATTTAGACCACGGGCCCCATAAAGGTTGCTTTCATCGGGATCTTTTTGGTAGCTTCGTTGAACTTTTCTTCGCCAGGGTTGCCTACCCTTCCGGGCCAGCGACTTGGAAAACTGCAATGAGTATAGAATGTATGTACAAACAGTTACACATATATCTATAATATAGATATATATATATATATACATGGACTCACGTAGCGGGTATAAAGAGTAAAGCACTTGTCTGCCGCAGCCACGTCAGCTTCAGGTTTGGCGTAGGTGGATGGGGGAGCAGCCGTGCCCACTGTGTGAAGGTCGGTACGGGACCTTCCGGTGGTGCACGGTGTGTAGCTCCTTGGAGCAGCTCCGGTTCGCTGTCCTCCGTGGTTTTGAGCGGGAGGACAGCGAGGAGCTTGGGAGAAGGATCAGGGACTTCTCCTCGACCCTCCTGTCTTGGGGCGCTCGGCTCCAGAGACAGCGGGAGGGTCGCACTTTCGCCCAGGTCAAGGCCGGTGGTGCTGGACCTGTGGTGCCCGCGGGGCTAGGGGCTCTCAGGCCGGCTGAGCCCGCTGGCCCCCCTGACAGGAGGGGATCGGGAGGGGGCGCCCTCGGCGTCCTCTCCTGCCACTACCTCCAAGGCTGCCCCGGAGGTCCCAAGGGCTTCCCGCACGCCGGAGAGGCGGAGGAGGAAGGAAAGCAAGAGGAGCCGCAGCTCCAGGAGGAGGAGAAGCCCAGGAAGGGCTAGGCATCGCAGGAGGGAGGCTTCTGCGTCACCTGTGAGAGCGCCCGTGCCTCCCAGGGATCCCCCACCCCGGCTCCTAGGGCCCTTTCCCCTGCGGAATTGCCTGTGGAGGTTCCGGAGTTGGCTGCCGGTAGGAGGGAGGCCTCCGAGGTGTCCCTCACTGAGTCGGAGGAGGAGGATAGCCCTGAGGCGGTCTTGAGGATAGCCCGGAGGCGGTTGCCCCTCCTGTTCCTGAGGAGTCGGGAGTTGGCAGTGCCTGGGTTGGCCCCATTCGCGCAGTTAGGAGACCCCGGGCGGTGGTCCCTTGGAAAGGAGGGAAGAATAAAGGCAAGAAGAAGCGTGAGAGGCAGGCCCTATTTCGGGGCCGCTGAAGGAGGCTGGAGCAATGCCTCCTAAGGTTTTGAGGAGGCCCGCAGCAGGTTTGCCGCTGGTGAGGCGCCCTGCTAGGAGACCGGCTGCTGCTGTGATAGACCATGGGGAGAACCCTCCTAGGCGCCGTCGCCGTGTGGGAGGAGGAGATGAACTGGTGCTGGCCGAGCTCGATATGGTCGGCTTGGGAAAGTTGCAGAGGATCTGGCTGGATCCATGCGTTACTGGATGGAAGAAACTTCGGTGGTGGGAGTTGTCAAGGGTGCCCGCATTGAGGGGTCCGAGGTTTATTTGGACCTCTTGGTGGAGGGGACCCGATCCGGAAGACTCTTGGAATATGTCTCAGGCACTCCTGAAGGGCGCATCAAGCTGCATGTGTGCCCGCGGGAGTGCGAGCAGGAGCTCTGCGAGGATGGCCTGGTACATGGTCGTGTGTTTCGCGAAGTTCCAGGTGTGCCCTCTGAGGCGTGGATGTCAAATGCGTGCCGGGTGGAGCCCGATGAGAATCGTGCTCTTCGTGAAGAAGCTGAGAAGCTAAGAAATGCAGGAGTTGCGGGAGCTCTTGCCCTTGATGAGAACTCCTATGAGCCCGAGGCGGGGGACTTGGAGGCGGATCAGAAGAAGAGGAAGGAGGCAAAGGAGAAAAGAGGAAAGAAAAAGAGGAATAAGGTGGTGCTTGAAAGTAGGAAGGCGTTGAAGGATGTGGTGGGGTCCACGGGATTGGACCCGGACCCTGTGGTGAGGAAGATCGTGTTGAGGCGTGCATCCAGGACAGTGAGGAAGAAAAGGAAAAGGTCAGATGATAGCTCGGGGAGGGCCTCATCATCTTCGATGTCGGAGGAGGAGCCCGAGGAGCTGTTCGGATGCAGCACGAGGCCCGAAGAGGTGGGCCGCCGCTTCCCCGGCGTGTTGGCGGCTGAAGGAATCAGGGAGATGCGAGCCAGTCTCCTGAAGAACACGGGGCAGTTGTGGGATTTGGAGGATGGCCCGCTCCCTCCTCTGAGCACCATGTACTTCAGGCAGACCTTGATGTCGAGGATGGCACCTCCAATGGCTCGAGAGACGCACACCCTGTGCTACGGGCTGGACCTCCTGTTGCAAGGCCGGGCTGCAGAGCTAGGCGACCTTTTGGTGCAAAGGATCAAGAGCCTGGAAGGCGTTGCTGCTGGCCTTCATTACTCGGTGATGCAGAAGATGGAGCTCCTGCCCATGGATGCATCCCGTGTGGCGCGCTATACCGAGGTGCATGATGCGGCTAAGGTGGCACGAGATGAGGCCCGAGCTTTGTCTGCTGGCTCCCGGGCACAAGGGAGAGGAGGTTCAGATTCAGGTTGGGTGCCGTATGGGCCGCGAGGCAGAGATGAGAAAGGTGGCGGAAAAGGAAAAGGCGAGAAGGGGAAAGATAAGGGTCGTGCAAAAGATTGGCCCAAGAAGAAGGAGGAGAAAAAGTGATGAAGAGGAGGCATTCGGGAGAGGGCTCCGAGGTGGAGTTTTCTCCTGGGGGAGCCGGGGAGGCGGTCGACCGTGAAGGTCCCCCTCCTGGGCGCCCTCTGGCCGTGCAAGAGCGGCTGAACGCTATCAAGCTGAGGCTCCCAGGGTTAACCTTAGGCGAGGCCGGTGGATGCTTGGTGGATTTGCTAGATCTGTTCAATGTTGGAATGTTGCACTGCAAGTCCCAGCCCATGGAAGGGAAATCCGTATTTCCTCTTCCCCTAGCAATCCTATCCGAGCTTTCACCCGCCAAGCATGCGCTGCTGTCCGCAGTGTGCCGGAGTCTCAACTCCCTTGCGGGATGCACAGACCCGCAAGGCCGGTCCTCGCACGCTGGACGCATGGCCGTGAAACAACTCGCGGCTGCCGTTGAGGTTTGTGAGAGTTGGAGTGAGGTTTTTCAAGATGTGAACTTCTCGGACTTCCTGAAAGTCAAAGGCATTGACTACAAGGGGGATGAGGTGAAACTTGCTGTCAACCTTAGTTGGGAGTGCCTTGCCCCTGCTCTCCCGGATGAAGTAGGGAAACTCAAGTTGGCTGAGCTTTGCACCCTTGGAACCCGCTTTTACGTGGACCATTTCGAGGACTTCTTGGTCCCTTCAAATGAGATGAGTCTAGGCAAGCCTCCCCGAGTTTTTGCCGATGCCAAAGAGTGGCCTTCTATTTGCCAAGGCTTGGTGGGTAAGGGGATCTGCGAGGTGGTGCCTTTGGATGAGCTGTTCCACATACAAGGTCAACCCCTCCTGAATGGCATGTTCGGAGTTGGAAAAGGCGAGTTTGTGAACGGGAAGGAGACACTCCGGTTGATCATGAACTTGATCCCTTTGAACAGAAACTGCAGAGGTATTTCCGGTGACGTTGGAACGTTGCCCCAAATTTCGGGGATGTCCGCCTTCGTGTTGGAGGGGTCTGAAGTGGCCCTCCTGTCGTCTGAAGACATCAGATGCTTTTTCTATCTCTTCCAGGTTCCCCCTGCGTGGAAAAGATTCCTGGGGTTTAACAAGCTTGTCCCAGAGGACCTCGTTCCCTCCTCCCTCACTGGGAGGAAGTGCGTCCTGGCAGCCAAGGTCCTCCCTATGGGGTTCCTTAACAGTGTTAGCATCGCCCAGCATGTGCACCGTAACGTGATTAGGAGCGTGGACCCCCTCCTTTTGACGGGAGATCAAGAGATCCGGAAAGACAAGAGTTTCCCCGCGAGCTCACACCTTTTTAGGATCTACCTCGACAACTTCGATTTCATCCAGAGAGTGGACTCCCAGTTGGCCGTCAGGCTGGAGGGGAGGGAGAGCCCGGAACAGAAGGCTGTCAGGAAGGCCTACGAGTCGGCCTGCCTGCCTCGGCATCCCAAGAAGAGTGTGGTTAGTGCTGAAAGGGCAGAGGTGCAAGGTGCGGTCGTCAGGGGCCACGAAGGGGTGGCTTATCCCCGCCCGGAAAAAGTACTGAAGTACATGGGGCTGGCGGTGGAGCTGATTGTGTGGGGCCGAGCTGGCCTCAAACATTTGCAAGTGGTCGCCGGAGGACTGGTATACATTGCTATGTTCAGGCGCCCGCTGTTCTGTGCCCTCAATTGCGTGTGGCGTCACATTGAGGTTCTAAAGCAGGGAGGTGGCAAGCCCCAGCTTCTACCTCCTGCCGTGGTGGCCGAGCTGGTACGGTTCTTGTGTTTGGTCCCTCTAGCACAACTGGACTTCCGGGGTGAGCTGGTAGGAGATGTCACTGCCAGTGATGCGTCCACCACTGGTGGAGGCATCTGCGTCACAAAAGGCCTCACGAGTTATGGGGTTCATGCCTCCCAGGCCAGTATCCGGGGGGAGTGGCCTGAACCCCATGACATGTGTCAGGTGTTGACGGTAGGCCTTTTTGATGGCCTTGGTGCTCTTCGCCTGGCCTGCGATGCGCTTGGCTTGCCTATGTGTGGGCACATTTCTGTTGAATCACATGCCCCGGCCCGCAGGGTTGTCGAAAGCTTCTTCCCAGGAACCGTGATGTGGGATGATGTACGCACCGTAACTGAGGAAGTCGTTCTGCAGTGGTCCACCCAGTTCTCCTCGGCAGGAGTAGTGCTCATAGGGGCTGGACCCCCTTGCCAGGGGGTCTCCGGGCTCAACGCTGACAAGAAGGGTGCTTTGAAAGATGCACGAAGCTGCCTCTTTGCGGAGGTGCCCCGGATTACCGCGCTGATCCGCAAATGTTTCCCATGGTGCCAGGTGAAGTTCCTCATGGAAAGTGTTGCATCCATGGATGACCGTGACAGGCATCACATGAGTGAGGCCATAGGTTTTGGGCCCTGGCATGTGGACAGTGGTCAGGTCAGTCCTTGCCGGCGTCCTAGGCTGTACTGGGTCGATTGGGAGCTGGGTGGTGGAGAAGGAGTTTTAAAGCCGCAACCGCCCGGGGCTCCTGGCAAAGATGTCGGCCTGGTGAGCTTAAGCGCTACTGTGGACTGGAAAGATTTTTTGAAGGGGGGTTGGAAGCCGCCTCCGAGTGGAGTGTTTCCCACCTTCACCACTAGCCGGCCTTCCCCCGCGCCTGGCCGCAAGCCTGCTGGGCTGGGAACATGCCAGCCACATGAGCGGTCCCGGTGGGAAGCTGACCGTCACCGATTCCCGCCGTACCAGTACAAGGACAAGTTCTGTGTGTGGAACAAGCAGGGGGACATGCGGCCTCCTGACATCGAAGAGCGGGAGGTGGCCATGGGGTTCCCGTTGGGATACACCAAGGCCTGCATGCCCAAGTCGCAACATGGCAACATCCAGTTCGAAGATTGCCGGCTTAGTCTAGTGGGCAATTCTTGGAACCTCTTCGTGATCACCTGGCTAGTATACTGGCTGTTCTTCCCGTTGGGACTGTGTGCACCGCGGTCTTTGCAGGACATCGTGAAGAGCCTCGCGCCCGGATGGTCTCCTACGTTCCAGGGAGTACTACTGCGGCCCCCTTTGAGGGCTGTCAGGGGCACCAAGGTTGACTCATCATTGAAGCTCGTGAAGAAGTTCCTGGGAGTCATTTCTATAAAAGGAGAGGATCTCCTTCTTCAGGCTTCTACCGATGTCCATGTCCGGTTCCACAGGTTGCGAGCATCTATCCCCAGCAGATTGTGGCGGTGGAGAACTGTGGCCGGATGGACTTGGAAATCACATACGGACCACATCAACGTTTTGGAATTGCGATCTCACTGACTCTCTGGTTTGCCTGCACAGCCTTTGTCGTGGCCGCACGTCGAGCCGCAAACTTCGTAGAACCCTCACCCGAATCAATTGCTTACTCCTTGCGACACGCTCCCAGCCCCTATGGGGGTATGTGCACACGCACCAGAATCCGGCCGACAGGCCAAGCAGGAGAGGTGTCCGTCGCAAATGGTTAAAGCAATGAAGCACGTTGAAGGGAGGTCGCAACGGGAGCGAGCGAAGATTCGGAAAGATTTGGGTTCACTCAAAAGTTTAACTGTGCAGCCAGCCACGCGTACCAGATATGAGAAAGCTCGGACGCGTTTTTTGAAACATTTGCGAGATGGAGGGATCGCAATTCCAAAGCAGAAACTTTTAATGGATGAGTTGGTCTCCGATTATATCGAGACTCTGTGGTCCCAGGGAGAAGGCAGGGCTTTGGCTTCAGATACCTTAGCCGGACTGCAAGATTTGGACCCCAGCCTCCGCCACCAAATGCCCCAAGCATGGCGCCTCATGAAGGCCTGGAACAGCAATGAGATACCAAACAGAGCTCCCCCGTTCCCGGAGAGCCTTTTAAAGGCCATGGTGGGCCGATGCTTGTTCCAGGAAAACCACGGAATGGCTCTTTCTCTGCTTGTCGGATTTTATGGCTTGCTACGCACTGGAGAGTTGCTTAGCATTCAAGCTCGTCACGTTTCCGTGAGTGCGGATCACAAAACCGCGGTTGTTTCGCTGGGGTGGACAAAGGGAGGCAAACGTCAGGGAGCCGCCGAAAGCTGCACAATCACCGTATGGGATGTGGTGCGGCGTCTTGAACAGTGGGTGCTTTCAGTGCCCAGCGGCTCCTATATGTGTGCCTCCCCGTCTACCTGGCGAAAGACTTTTAATCAGCTCCTGGCTGACATTCGAGTGACTGAGTTTGAGTTTCGGCCATATAGCCTGCGCAGGGGTGGCGCTACTTTTTGGTTCCAACGTCATGGCCAGTTTGACAGGTTGTTGGTCCAAGGCAGGTGGCAGGCAGCGAAGACTGCCCGCATTTACCTGAACGAAGGGCTGGCTATGTTAGCCGAGATGAGATTCTCTCAATCCCAACTGAGTGCTTGGGTTCGCTTATACCAAAACGCACTTAGAAGTGCGCTGCCGAGGCTCGAGCGAGCGTCGAGACGCAGTACAGGGGGACGTGGAAAGAGGTCGAAAAGAGGGAAAAAGGGGTGGTGGCTAGGCTGTTCCGGAGTTTCTTTTTCAGACGGCCTCAAAATGGCACCTGAGCGCCCTAGTTTCTTCCGGCTTGGCGGAAGAGCTAGGGGGGGTGCGGGGGGGGATTTCCTCTTTCTTCGGCTTGGCGGGAAAGGGAAATCCTGAGGCCCCCAGTTGACAAGAAACGGGCAAGGGGCCCAGGGCTAGTTAGCCACCACAAAGAGGACGTAACTTTTTATTTATGACAAAGTTGGACTTGCTGTGCGCAGAAAAAGTGCGGCTTACTCTTTGGACTCACGTAGCGGGTATAAAGAGTAAAGCACTTGTCTGCCGCAGCCACGTCAGCTTAAGGTCCCGCCCACCCTTCCCCGAAAAGAGGGAAAAAGGGGTGGTGGCTAGGCTGTTCCGGAGTTTCTTTTTCAGACGGCCTCAAAATGGCACCTGAGCGCCCTAGTTTCTTCCGGCTTGGCGGAAGAGCTAGGGGGGGTGCGGGGGGGGATTTCCTCTTTCTTCGGCTTGGCGGGAAAGGGAAATCCTGAGGCCCCCAGTTGACAAGAAACGGGCAAGGGGCCCAGGGCTAGTTAGCCACCACAAAGAGGACGTAACTTTTTATTTATGACAAAGTTGGACTTGCTGTGCGCAGAAAAAGTGCGGCTTACTCTTTGTATATATATATATATATATATGTATATACATGTTAGTATGTGTGTTTTGTTGCCAGTTTTTGCTCAGCTTGAGAGTTCGTGTCCGGCTTTCCAGGGTGAACGCCCAGGTTCGCTGTGCTGTGCGCAGTGGTTCCCACCACCATCTCGGCATTGGACCGGGCGCAGGAGACACATCCGCGAGTTCGGGTGCTCATTGCCCAGGGTTCCCAATATTTTCCCCCTTTTTTGGTGGTTTTCAACATCGCCTTTTGGGCCCATGAAAGGTGAGTGTCCCTGGGGGAAATATCCCGGGAGCCCCGTTGCTCGAAGGCCCCATAAATCTCGAAGGCCCCATAAAATGGGCTGTTCAAAGGTACTCCGCAAGATCCAAATCCTTGGGCTACGCAAGGATTTAATCGGTCCCTTTGTAGGCTTTTCTATAGAGATGGATTAGGATTTCCCCAACCCTCCATTTTGAACAGCCCAGATAAATACGGGGATCAAAAGGGAAGAGCGGGCCAAGGGTGCCTGGTGTCATCCGTGTCCGCCATGAACCTGACTTGTCAAAAGTCTGAGACTGTCAAACGGTTTTGTGCCTTTGTTATGCATTTGTGGATTCATGTCGTGAAAGCTAGATTCCCGGGATTTGTATATCATATTGTGGCATTGGCTTCACAAATTACTTACTTTGCTTAATCGTTCGCTCGTTCTTTCGTAAGTTATGTAGTTGCTTCGTTGTGTAGTTACCTCGTTGGTGTGAGTGAGTGAGTGAGTGAGTGAGTGAGTGAGTGAGTGAGTGAGTGAGTGAGTGAGTGAGTGAGTGAGTGAGTGATTGAGTGATTGAGTGATTTTGAGAGTGAGTGAGAGCGAGCGAGCGACAGAGCGAGTGAGATTGAGTGAGTGAGATTGGGTGAGTGAGATTGAGTGAGTGAGATTGAGTTAGTGGGATTGAGTGAGTCAGATTGAGTGAGTGAGATTGAGTGAGTGAGATTCAGTGAGTGAGATTGAGTGAGTGGGATTTGCATGAGTGAGATTGAGTGAGTGAGAGCGAGCGAGCGAGCGAGTGAGATTGAGTGAGTGAGATTGGGTGAGTGAGATTGTGTGAATGAGATTGAGTGAGTGAGATTGAGTGAGTGAGATTGAGTGAGTGAGATTGAGTGAGTGAGATTGAGGGAGTGAGATTGAGTGAGTGGGATTGAGTGAGTGAGATTGAGTGAGTGAGATTGAGTGGGTGAGATTGAGTGGGTAACATTGAGTGAGTCTCATTGAGTCAGTCAGATTGAGTGAGTGAGATTGAGTGAGTGAGATTGAGTGAGTGGGTGAGTGAGTGAGTGAGTCACATTGAGTCAGTCAGATTGAGTGAGTGAGATTGAGTGAGTGAGATTGAGTGAGTGGGTGAGTGAGTGCGTGCGTGCGTGCGTGGGTGTGTGGGTGGGTGGGTGCGTGGGTGGGTTGGTGGGTGGGTGGGTACGTGAGTGAGTGAGTGAGAGAGTGAGTGTGTGGGTGGGTGAGTGAGTGAGTGAGTGATTGGGTGGGTGGTGGGTGGGTGGCTGGGTGGGTGGGTGGGTGGGTGAGTTAGTGTGGTGGCTTTGCTAACCCCACTACATTCATAAATGGAATAGGTCGCCAGGGGTTGACCCCTGGAATTCAATGCAAGAGGGAATTTGCTCGATGCCACCCAACCCCATCCCAGCACAAAACCCGTGGTTCAAATTGGGCTAGGGTTTTCAACATTGCTCGCTTCTTGCAACAGTTCGCACCTACTCGTACCGAAAGTCGTGTTACCACCTCCCTTTGGCCCTTTGCTTTTTGATACCAAGGGCTTACGCATGCAACGTGTTTCTCAATATGCCGGCTGTGGTGTTTGCGATATGGGTATAGGTCAAAATTAAACCGCCAGGGAACCGCAGGTTTTAGTCCTACTGTGGATGGACGAAATCCATTTCGCACCACCTAAGAAACCCTGGAATGATGATCCCCTGTAAATACAAACCAACAATGGCTTCCCATGGTTGCAAAGTGGTGCAGGATTTCGTCCATCCACAGTATTTCCCTTTACCAGGTTTCTACATTGGGTACCTTGTTTGACCCACACTCATATGTCATAGGGCCTGAGAGCTGCCAGGAATATCTATTTCTTTCGCCGGCCTCCATGTGGCCCGTGCACTTCCAACCACTTCTGTGATACAAGTTGGAATCTCCCCCTTTATATGGGCGGTTAGTCTTTGGGAAGCCTTTTCTGTTGCATCACAGAAGTGGATTCCGTTTCCCATAGCCCTGCCCGTGCATGTTGAACGGAAGAAAGGACCTTTTCTTGACTGCTATTGGGCTGGATCTTTAGACTTTAACTTTTCGGGAAATAAAGGTGTTTTCCACGACACCCCCAAACCGTTAAACTTTTTACAGGGAGGTGAACAGCAACCGCGTTTTTGGTCCCCCAGAAACGAGATGAATGCGTGCAAACCAGGACATCGTGCTGGACATTGCCTGGACCCATGGGAGGCCGATCCAAAAAAGACCTAGGGGGAAATCCTTGTAGGTTGGGTTTCCATGTTCATCTTGGCTCCCAGCCGTCCGGTTCCTTAGCTTTCTAGGCTTTCAGTCTTTGGTGGGGGTTTCCATTTGACCTAACGTTAAACTTTTAGCAGGGGATCTGAGGCCAGCCCATTCATGTTGACCCCATATTAACCATCCCCTGGTTGGAAGATTTGGGGGGGTGTTCCCCTCCAAAAGTTGTATGATTCCCAACTAAACCCAGGGAGAAGCAGCCCCTACTTCTGGTTGGTTGATGAACGTGGGGTCATCATTCATTTGCAATTTGCCCCGGGGGGGGGGGGGTACTGGGATCCGCGGTTGTGAGCTAGTACATTCCTGTCACAAGTACTCACTTGCCGCCAGTTTTGGCAAAAAGCTCGCAGCAAATGGGGGCCCACGGGTTCCTTACGGTCAACTTGGATACAAAAGCCGGCTTAAAGCTACTACTTCACAGGGTTAAAAGGTCTTGTTCTACGCCACCAATTGGCAATGAGTTTACTGTCAACTTGCTACATTGCCAGTGAACTTCCAAGTTGCCAGTCACTCAATTCACCAGAAGGTGTGGCCAGGAACCTCCTCAAAAGTGGATGGTGGACATGAATCCGAACCTAAATGAACACTGGATTACAACTTTATAGATCGGCGCGAGCAGATGAGTGGAGCTTTCCACGCACCAGCCAGCTAGCCTAACCACTCTTTCGAATACGCAAGAGTGAACCCAGATGCTGCACGTTGCTTTTGGAAGGGCAAAAGGCACCCTGGTTCCAAAATATCGGGGTTCCTCTCAATCGCTGGTCCGTTTTTTGGGTCACAAATGGTCTCCCTTTGCATTAGCTTTCCAAGATCATGGATTCGGTTGGTCAATTCTCCACTTTGACCTGCCAAAACGGGCCCCTGGTTCCTAGACACTCACAGCCTCCACTCCATTTTGCCATGCTTCCTTCGGCCAAAGAATCGGAGGGCGGCAGCAATAGGGAACCATTGGGGAAGCCAAGGACGGCTTTGTTGTTGACCGTTTGGTGACCCCGCTCACTGGGGAAAAATGCACAGCTCAAACATGTGGACCCGTTTCCTTTAGACAGCTCCCCCGAGGAGCCGGAACGTATCGCAAACTATGCAGCACATGTTAAAAAAAAGAGAGAACCAAGGTGAACCGTAGGGAAGCATAGCAAGCCGCAAAAATAACAAGAGGGGCATTGGGAGCCGGGAGAGCCCAACTGACCAGATTCTTTGTTTGCTCGACCAGCGCAGGCTGCTGGAGCGTTTGATCCACTTAGGCGGCGCGCAGATGCACAACCAGGCGGGTGAGGTTGTCTGAAATGCGAGTTGTCTTTTAAACTGTTTCCTTTTGCCTCCTGGGCTACGGTCTTACGTCTTTGGCCCTGGCCCCACCCGGTTTACAAGGCCAGATTCGTGGCTGAGTGGCTGCTTTACCGCCCTGCAAGAAAACAAAAGTTGTTGTCCTTTGCCATCCATGGCCCGCGGTCAGTTCGGAGGGGGGGGGGGCAACTGTTGTTCCAGCCCGCTTTGAAAAATACGCCACGAATGCCAGGGGTCCCTATATTTCAGTATCCCTTGGTGGGGGTGATGTTTTAAGGGGAAATATAGGGAGCCCTAAATGCGGGCAAGCACCAGCACCAGCCAGCTGGAGTTGGATGTCCTGGCTTGGTTCACGCAAGGTCGGGATGAAGTGTCTTGGAATAGAGCCCAAAAAGTGGCTCATTTCCTTTGGCTATCCATGTCAGGAAATATGGTTGAATATAGTTGCAAACGTTTGAGTTGACCCTGCTTGAACTTCCAAAACGATGTGTTTTCAGAGTTTTAGGACGCCACGTGATTAGTTCTTCCTGGGTTTCCCCCGAAGGCTGCAGTGGTCTTCGGAGCAGAGGTCAAGTGCCTGCAACAGAACGTGCAGGACAGGCTGGCACGTCATGAGAGGTGAGATTAGTTGTTGAGTTAATTTCTGGACAAGGGTTCCCCATCCACCCAAAACAAAAGGTTCCAATCCTACCGGGGCCTCACTGACTTCTTAGATATGAGGCTTTGATCATGACTGCCCGGTTGTGGATGCATAGCATTTAGCCCAGGGGGCGGGGCCGGGGGGGGGGGGAGTCCCTTCTCACTCACCAAGCATAGATATTTTTTGTTTGTTGGCAAGTAGAGTTGAATTGGCCAGAAAATGTCCTCTTGGAATCAAAAAGCCTCGCAGATTGCTGTACTCCAAGACAGTCCCCGAAGAATTTCGCTTCTCAATAGTCAATCCAGTTCAGATCAGAGAGCTTAGGAAGACAACCTACTTGGGCTTCTTGAAAACTATGTTTCTTTCATTTGCTTGAAGCCAAAAAAACCCTGGGCAACTTTTGGAAACCCCATTTGCCGGTCATATCAAATTCACTTGACCCACCCCTTGGGTCGGTAGGAGGCGAAGGGCCTGCTGGCCACCGCTTGGTGGGAATGTTTCGACCTGGGCGTGGCCGGGCGCTCGCGCGCGCTGCTGCTGGAGCTCTGCAAGAGCTTGGACTTTCTCAACGCGCCCTGGACAAATTTGTTTCCGCTGATGGGGCGCTGACAGGGGAACGAGTCTCCCGAAGGGTTTTCCGAAGGAAGCTGATGGGCGCTTCTTCGGGTCTCCCGAAGCAACCCGAAGGAATTGAAAGGAACCCGAAAAACCCGAAAAATAACCCGGGCCTCGCAACTGCCCAGCCCCCTTGTAATTACCTACTACCTACCCCCCCTTTAGGGATTTTAGGAGACCAGCAGGTGTAATGCGGGTTGGGGCTTGGGAAACCGTGCTGGAAAGAACTACTCAAACCTGTCAATACTCGAACCACTGAATTTTCAAGCAGCTCCTAGACAAGGCCCTCGGTTTTGTACGGTGGTTGAACAAGGGTTTTCCCTTGCGGCTCTTGATTTGCCAAGCTTCCAAATCCACCAGTTGGGTGGACTGCCAGAAAACATATGCCCATGTCCCTTTTGACATTTGCACGGGGAAAACCCTGTTCAACCAAGGGCCTTGTCTAGGAGGTGAGAGTATTGACAGGTTTGAGTTGCAGTTGTTTCCAGCCCGTTTCCTCAAAGAAAGCCAGAATGGGGATGGGATCGCTGTGTTTTCAAAGATCCCTATATAATCCCCTCCGTCCATGTCAAGGCTTCAACAGTGGCAGTTTGAATGAACACAAATGGTCAATGGTTGGTCAATTGCAACTTCTTATGCCGAAATCCAGGTGACCGTTGCATGTGTTTGAATCATCCATCTCGTCTTTTTGCTGCCTGCCACGGTGTTTCGGGCCCCCGCAGGCGGCAAAGTTGCCTTGTTAGCCCCTTGCCATTCAGCCTTTCTTTATGATCTATTTAATCCAAACGTGGCTTTACAGCAAGGGCAGCCTTACATGGCCATGGGTCAACAGCCCGTACTTCCAGTGAACATCCCAATCCCTACTAAAATAGGTTCTAAAATGGGTGGTGCACCTACCCCAAGATGGTACCATTGGTTTTGACCCACAGCCACATGTTGATCCTGTCGAAATGCGTGGAAACGGGATGGCAAGCCAACCAGAAGAAGCAATGAGCGTGAGCGCTTGACCAATGCTGCAATCCCCGCGGTGTAGAACGTCATTTTGTGAGCGGCTGGCAAAACTTCAATGGGGGGACCTTCCACTTGTCCCATGTACTTTGGGCTTGAAATGAAACTTTTTGTCTGGGGCCTTGTGAGTTGTAGAGCAGGCGTCCATATATTCCCTTTATTGCTCAGCTAAATGAGTTGTAAGTGTATGTCCTTTTGGGTGAGGGGGAAGTTGTGGTGAGAAGCCGGCCCCTTCACCCCAAACCTTTCCTGTGTTTTTTAGAAAGCACTACCACGTGCATGGGTATCAACGAGAAGGACACTCCCGTATGTACCATTGTTGCGAAACCCAATGGAAGACGACAGCTTTCCGAGCGTTTGGACTTTACAGTTTTTGGAAAGACCGTGTTAGTGGCCAGTGGGAAGATTTAAAAAAAAAAGTTTGTCCACTGAGGAACTCACCACAAAACAAAACATGTTGTTTCCTGTACTCCACCATCACTCCAGCATGTTGGGCAGTCCACTCGATCGGAAGTGAGCCAACGGGAAGCCAACGGAAGGGACCCGTGCGAACGCCCTTCAACCGGCTGGGTGCAAGGATTGGATCGAATTCATGGTCATGGCGGTCCAGCACCATGATTCGGACAAGGCCCTCGCACGATCCATGGGGCGTTGAGGAGTTGACCGAGTCCTCGTTGGGCGGCTTTATTGCTTGGTGGTGATGGCTGTAGTTTGGACATCTTTTGGGCCCTGACAGTTCAATACTGTTTCGGGTTTTCAAACTACCCTATGCGTTGTGGCTTTGGATCATCACCTCCCGACGCAATTTTTGACATGTGAAAGGAGAAGAAAAAGGGGGATCCTGAATGAGTCAGCACATCTTAATTACAAGCTTCATGTTGGCTTCCTTCCAAGGTATGCAAGCAACGGAGCTTGACCCGCGCGCGTTTAATTCAGAGGAGTCCTCACACACACTCGGCTGGTGAGCCTGCGACAGATAGCTGGGAACCAGTAAACCTGCGGTGAGCTCTCTGGATCAACATGCAAGCTGGTAATCCTTAAGGGCCAAACAGTGCGCTTTGAAGCCACACGTCTTAGACTCTTGACAAACACCCTGATTCCATCTCGCAAGCCAGCCGCATTGGTAGTCTTAAAAACTTAGGGCTGCCTTAAACATACGCCAGGATATCCCATGTATATGCCAAGCTTCTTTGACCCCATGCAGCGTGCAAGAGCAGCTTGATCAAGCAGAACGCCAAATGCTGAACAGGAAGAAGTGCTGAGAATGACCAGTTTTGTCTATTGCATGACGGCCTGCTGTCGGGGTGCCACGAGTGCATGTGGCTTGTGATGTAGTCGCACTCATCCAATACTACCCTACAGCCATTATCTTTTGCTTTTCGGTTTTTCAACAAAAGCACCCATATGGAGGGAAGCCGTCTTTTCAGGTATGTTGAACGATTAGTTTGTTTATCCTTGCCAGTGCCGATGCACGTAATTGCCAGTTGCTGCACATCCCTTTCAGTTCATTCGAAAAGCCCCTGGAGAAACTGCTTCCCAGACATGCGAAGAGGTCCAAGGTGCCACTTCATGCGCCAGGTGACGAACCACATCTTCGTCTCGGTGCAAAAGGACCTTGCTCTGAAGTAAGCGGAACTCGAAATGGTTGTCCCAGAGGTTTCTTCCTTGTTCTCCTTTCCAAGGGAAACCCCTTTGACATCAAGTACCCCAAAACGGCGCCCCTGTCTTCATGACCATTGGAGGTTTGGGTGTGTTGGCATGTCAGCGGAGCTCGGGTACTTTCTCGAGTGGCCTCATAGCTTATTAACAAAATATTGGCTTTCTGCGCGGAAGTGCGTAAACAGGAAAAAAAGACAGAACGCTCAATTAGCTCCAGTACCATGCAGGCTGTTGCTAAACTTCGCTAGGATCCCCGCCCCCACAAAAGGAAAGCGAGCCCAACAAAATTACCCGGAGCATTTGCTTGGACTGCGGGCTGTCCGTAAAAAACGGGACGCACAGAACACGTGGCCCTGTGCATGAATTCGGCGCTTCCGCATACAAGCGCAAACCACGGTCGTGGCAGTGACCGAGGCAGTCCCGGAGCTTAGCCGGTTCGGCATGGCCACGGCAAACCATCGTAAAAAAATCCTTTGCGAACTTCCGCGAATTCGAAAATCTGACCAACTCGGTTCCATTGCTTGCGATGTTCACTACGGAATCCCGGCAGACTTGCACGGGTCCGACCTGCAACAACCCTGCGTTGTGGGCTCGGTGTTGTTTTGTACGCCTTGCGCTTTGCTCGCAAAACCCTTTGCCGAGTTTGGCGAGGGCGGACTTCAAGAACTTGTTGTGTTTGCCACTTTCCTGGGGCGAAGAGATCCAGAGGGAGAGAGAGAGAGAGAAAGATAAAGCGAGAAAGAACATGTAACATAGTCATTACAGAAAGAAACACGGTAAAACACAAAGACAGAAAGCAAGAAGGAAACCAACCAGAGAAACAAGTGAACGAAAACAGAAAGAGACAGAGATAAAAAATAATTAGAAGAGAAAGGAAAGAGACAGAAAAGGAAAGAGATAAACAAGGACAGAAAGGAAGAAGGTCACAAGCAAGTCAGTAAACAAATAGATAAACAACGCAAAACATAGTCTCATACACAAAGACATCAAGGCATAACGACCGAACGGATTACCAAAACACAGAAATAAAGAAGGATAGGAAGAAAGACATGTCTAGATCATCTAGATTATCAAAGCAAGAAAGAACAAAACAAGTACACACAAAAACAACACAACTAGTGAGTACAACAAACAATACAACAAAACAAAGCACAAATAAAGCAGTCAATCAATCAATATGCAAAGAAATAGCAAAATACAGAAAGAAAGAGATAGCGAAGACAATAAACAAAAGGAATGGAAAGTCAGAGAGACTGACACACAGAAACATAGAAAGAAAAGAACACAACAAATACAAAACAACAACCGAAACAAGCAGTGGAGATTCAAATTCCTGGAGATTCCCAGGCGTTCCAGTGTTCGAGGTGTTTTAATGAAGAGTTCAGGCATTCTTTGGATTTGCGCTCCTTGCGGCGTTTTGCTGGCGTTTCCCGAAATTTTGCGTGTGATTTTGGGCCTTTTGCGAGTGTTTGCGGCAGATGTGCGGTCGTTTGCGCCGATAATCGGTGCAAAGCCGAAAGCTACCAGGAATGTCTTACTTTGAAACTTTAGGCCTGCCTGACGTTGGATAATTTTGCAGGACCATTCTAGTCCTGAGAACTCCCAATCCCCCTAGAATTCATGAATTCACTCCACAAGACTTCCAATGACTCCCGGCAATCCCAAGGTCTGTTTCTTGAGATCCCTTCTCCCTTCCAGGCGTCCACGTAGGCACGGCCAACAGGAGCTCTCCGCGCTGGTGCGCGAGAGCAAGGGCTCGCTCTTCCGCTGCGTGTCTTGGACCGTTGGATCATCGGAGCAACGAAGACGGGGCCCCCAAAAAAAGCTGAAACACAGTGGGGATCAGTGGGGTTTTGGTCTTAAGGTGGTTTCTTGCTTTCTATGTTCATCTGGGTGGGTACGGCGTACGCCTTCTTCAGGGAAAAGAAAAGGATTTGCTCAACGGTACTTTCGTGGGTTTATTGGTGTGTGCACTAGCTTGCACGCACGGGAAGCAACATCTTCATACAGCTATAGATACATATATACACATAGTGGCGGGCTTTTGGTGCAGGTTCGACTCTGTTTATTTGTCGTTTCGCCAGTCAAGTCAGCAAAGGTGGCGGTTGCCATCCAGGGGGACCTGGCCGCGGAGTCAGATTTGACAATGTCTTTGTCAGCTTTGGAGGAGCCTCACTTCCACGCACCTCGCTACTTGGGCTGACGGAGTTGAAGATAAACCCTCTGGAGTGGTTGAATCTCTCAACCCCCGTTTCAGGTCCATCCTCTGGAGGTGGGTGTTTTGTATAATGAAGTCACAAACTAGGACAAGTCACGTTTTTGTTGGTTGCACTGGCGACTTTCTGTTTTGCCCTTTGGCTGGGACAAGCACATGATTTGAGGTTGTACTTCCCCGAGTTGCTGCCTCTTTCGAGTTGCGGTCCTCTAAATATATATCCATGCTTTGAGGGCTCGAACAGACACGGCTTCCCCGGCAGCCACAGTTCAGAGGGACATGTGTAAAGGATGTTTCGTGTGACCCGCTGAGGTGTCCTTCTTGGTTAGTTTGTTTTAAAATGGATGGCACTGGCTTAGATGGGTTTCATTTCATTTAGGACCATCTATTTCTCCAAAAGGCCACCTACTGTATGGTGACCCGGTGGTTTTGTTTTGGTTTGCATGCAGGAGGCCCAGCGCAATTTGACCGCTGCCTTCCGGAGGAGCCTGCTGCTTGGACGACGGGCGCGCGGGGGGTGGGGGGGGTGGGGTTCCAGTCGTGCGACTTCTTCGGCGCTAAAGAAGCGTCAACTTGGGAAGATGAGGTCTTTTGGGCCAACTGGTCGCAAACATTGGCAATCAAACCATCACTTGGAGCTTGCCAGTGTCGAGTGGTTCCTCTTCGCACAAAACCCGTTGACGAGTGGGGAGGAGCAAGCAAAACAGGGCATTTGGTAGACGTGCTTCGGGATCTCTAAACGGGGTCCGGGGTTCTAATGGTCTGTGCCAACTCCCACTAGAGATTGCTGATTCTCAGGCCGTTCCCGATAAAAGTCATTAGCTTAAGGGCCCATTTTGGGTCAATTTCGTGCCCGAAATTTCATGTGTTCAAAACGCCTAGAGGTCACTTCCCGAGAGGTTCAGTTCCTGGACGGATCAACCCTCTCAGTTCGTGCCAAGTTCGAAGCAGCTTTTGGGGGATTTTGTTCAGAACCTAGCTGGCTTTCACGACACGGGCAACCAACGTTTGGTCAAGCTCACTCGGAACCAGCGGTTCCGTCTTTGAGTACGTGGGCCGAGCTTGCAAAGATGTTTTATCGTTTGCCAGGTGAGCGCCTCATATGGCTAAGGGGGATTTCGTATTTGCAGTTCGCGAATTATGGGCCACTTGTAGAAACCTCAGGGCGAGCTTCCCCACAAGGGGCTTCTTGGGGTGAATATGCAGAAGTCGCTCAGAAACAGTGAGAACGGTTTTTTTCTTTTAGTCTGTAGACAGTCAAACATACTTCCATTTGCTTAAGAACATTGTTTAGTTTCCATTTCAATGGGAATCTATCACTGGAAAATATTTGATTCATTCCGGGGGGCTTAAGCAAATGAAAGCATACTATGGTCTCATAGTCGAGGTTGTTGCAAGATTAATTCAAGGTATGGTGGTCATGATTTGGGTGTGGCTCAAAATTCAAGAGCTGGAGTTACCCAGGTTCTAGTCTTTGGTTCCATTTACCAAGGTGTCATTTTGGTACATTTATTTGAGCCACAGCCATTTGGCATTGTTTGGGGTTCCAGCCATTTGTCCAAACCAACATCTTACGCACGAGTCGTACTTTGCCCAAGGGCTTGTGCCTCATGAGAAGGGCTGGATGTAACCCACGAGCTGCTGACGTGAACCTCTAGTTTTGCCCATCAAGACGCAGATTATGACGTATGGGAACAAACCAGCCCCCCGGGGTTGACTTTTTACCACGAATGCTAGCTGTACTATCCCATTGTAACCCCTCAACCGGCCCAGGCCCCTCAAGCTGGCCAATCTGTTCATTCGACCTGGTTATGAGCATGGGTCAAAATGAAACCACTCCTTCTGGTTTGATCAGCGGGGTTCCATTTTGGGGGCACGCACGTTTCATATTTTTTTGAGCCACATTTATTCCATTTTTTGGGCAGAAAGCCCTTTTTTAACCAAAGCAAGGGCCACTGGCTGGCCGTATTTGCCCGCGGTGATGCTTCTTATTGAGCCACATCCTCCATTTGCTTGAGACTATGTTTTACTTTCCCTTGTTGGTCTTAAAAAAAGAACATCACTACTGGACATATGTTTATTTTTTCCCTTGGGCCTGCACCAAATGGAAGATATCGGTTCTCATTGAGCTTGGCATTTTTGTTGCGCCACACCCATGAAACCACTCCTTCTGGATTGAGTGCTTTCCATTCTCCGGGGTTTCACTTTTGGGGGGGGGTATTTTGGAGCCATGCCCATGGTCCGTGTGGCGCCCCTCCCGAGGTCGCAGGTCCCGCTGCAGCAGGTCTTCACCTTCGGCCAGCTGCCGGAGCTGGCACTGGCCTCCAGCGTCAGCGGGCGCCTGCGGCCGACTTATGCCGTGGGTGACACATGGGGCGATCCCCCGAAACGGGGTGCCCTACGAAATGGAAACGACCAGAATGTACTAAATTGAAAGGACTAGAACAAAAGTTTTAAAGATAGAGCTGCAAGACCCTGTAAAAATGTCTTACCCTGACGGGCCCTGACCAAACATTCATTCAGTGGCCCCCGCTACGAAATGCAAAAGACAGCAAAAATGATTGCAGTCCCCTGGTGCTTTCATTTTGACCCCGACCCGTATAATCTCTTCCCCCTATTAATAAATACGCCCCCCCCCCCCCTATTATAAATAAATCCCCCCAAAAATGTATTTTTTTTTAATTGGGGTTTTTGGGGTTGGCTTTTTTTTGCTTTTCCAACAATGTGAGGGTTCACGTAGGATTTGGATGAAATGGATTGAATTGTAAGGTCCGCGAGTAAGCGGTTCAATAAGGAAATTTGATGTATCATTCTAATTAATTATTTGTTTACCAGTTTACTGGTTGTTTGTTTGCAGCCAGGCAGGTTAATTAGCCAGCATGTACGGGAGAGAGACAGTCGCAGCTAGAAGACAGCTTTTGGGGACATGTTTTCTTTTGAGGGACACCCCAATAATTAAAGGACCCAATTAAAAAAAAAACACATTTGGGGTGCAGCCAGGCAGGTTAGGTAGCCAGCTTGTGATTGACTGCGAGACAGTCCAGTGCTCGAGAAGGCAGTGTGGGTTTCAAGACAGCCAGACATGCATTCAGTGATAGGAAGGCAGCCAGTAGTCAGCCAGTAGGGCACAGGCAGGCAGAAAACTCAGACCAGACAGCATTTTGCTGATCTGGGCGGCAGCAATGGCTGGAGATGGTCAAGGCAGCCAGCCTGGTGGCCAGGATGGACACACGGAGCAGTCCTTGCAGAGCCTCGTGCAGTCCTTGGACCCCAGCCAGATGGCCATCTTGCGCCAGATGTTGGAGAACAGCCAGGACAGGGGGAAGGGGTAGATAATTACAGATCAGACATGCGATTGTTTATCAAGCTTTATCAAGCATCATGCGTTTGAATTCTCAAGCGCTTCCTTGATGACAAGGCCGAGCCTAAGAAGGCTGCAAGGAGTGAACAGACAGTCCAGGCCCCTCAGCAGTCAGAAGCCAGCACGGGAGGCATGAAGAGGCAGTCTTCATTTGAAACCCCGCCCAGCAAGGTCAGGGCCGCCAGCTCACCAAGCCAGGGACAGGCAGTGGCGGTTACTCCTCCTAGTCAGCAGGAGCTTTTGCCCAGCCCAGGCAGTAGCAGGCAGATGGTTCCAGTGCAGCAGAGCATGGGGCAGAGGCAAGCCAGTGTTCTACAGACTGGACTACTTGTTCGGCAAGACGCCAGAGAAGCAAGCAAGCCCCGGCTTATCTGGTCAGCAGGCCAGGCAGAGAGAGGAGCAGGCTGCAGAGGAGAGAAGACAGGAGGCAGAGGAGGAAGCCAGGGCTGCTCTTGCCCGGCACGGGATGGACAAGGCAGTTGCCGGCGCAGAGAAGCGGAAGAGAGCCAAGACTAACTGGAAGACAGTCCCTGGCTTGAGGAAGAAGAGGGCAGAGGTTAGCGCAGCCGGCAAGCTCAGCCTAGTTCAGGAGCTGAAAAAGATGGAGACAGCCACAGGCAGCAAAGCAGCAGCCAAGCAGCACCTGAGGCGGCAGTACAATGTCAGCCATAGTTTTGCCAGTCGGCTAGCCAGGCCGAGTGAGCAGGAGAGGCTTGCAGACTTTGTGCACATGAGGAGCCTCGGCAAGTCCGGGCTGAGACAGCAAGGCAGCCACTTGGGCTTTGCCTGGATGCAGTGGCGAGGCCTCGGCAAAAGAATGCCGAAGACACCAGGGGCCACTCTTGGCAAGACAGACAGGCACAGGCAGGTCTGGACCCAGACAGCTCTGTGGGCCCAGCTGCAGGAAGCGGCAGGCCACCAGCTGTCAATGGAAGACGTCTTGGACGACTTCGAAGAGCGGCTCCACAAGGCAGTGTCAGTCAGACAGACACAGGCCGACAAGGGACTAGCCAGCCCAGAAGAGCTCAAGGAGCTAGCAGCCTGGAAGCAAAAGCAGGACAGCTTAGCCAACAAGCCGAAGCAGAGAGCTAAGTTCAAGGTCAGGCTGATGTCTCGTTGCGGCTTGAGGCAGCGCAGCAGCCAGCAAGTGCAGCAGCTGACAGCAGAGGACGAGAAAGCCAGACTTCAGGTTGCGTGGAGGCTTTGGGATGCTTTGCTAGAGGCAGCAGCCAGCCCCACCCTTCGAGAAGACCTGCCAGTCAGCGATGTGGAGGCTTGGCTCATGGACAGGAGCACCTGGATCACAATGTCAGATCAGGTGCCAGTCTGGTTGAAGCCAGCCGCAGGCAAAATGGTGACCAGCCTAGTTCGCCTCAGAGCCAGCAAGGAGGCAAAGCCGCAGTCGGTCACCTGCGTCAGGCCAGTCATGCCTGACGCCACCGCCGCCTGTGCTCGTTGAAGGAGCATCGAGGCCTGTCTGGAGCTGGCTGTCCACGCGCCGGTGAACATGTCCACAAGGTTCACTGCCTGCAGGCTCTCTGACTTCTCGAGCTCCAACTGCCAGCGGAAAATCACCGAGTCCACTACCGCGCTTGGCTGAGCCCATACCCTGACTGCCTGATCGGCAAACAAGTGCGGGTGGTCTCTTCTGGCTTTCCTCCACGTCTTCATCACACTGCCCGGCACTCTGGCTCCTGCTTCTCTGACTATCTCCCTGTCGTTCACCACAAACCGCTCTGTCTGGATCCATGTCCCTGTCTCGGAGATATTTTCAAGTCGGCAGTGGCAGCCATACACAACCAGAATGCTGCCTGACACTCCTCCTTGCGGCTGCTTGGCTGGGTCAAAGTATCCCCGCACATGCTGTCTGCATACGAGGCTGACTCGCCATCTTGGCGCCTGTCCTGGGCTGCGCTGGGCATTCCGGATCCGCGGGCCCAGGTCTCTCTGCGGTACCGCTGCCTTGCCGCCTTCCTGCCTCGCCTTTCTCCTCTCTCTCCTCCGCTTTTGCCCAAGGCAGCTCTGGCTCGCCACCAGGAGGACCTCAAGCGCACTCTCAGAGAGAAAGCCAGGCAGGAGGGCGTGCAGTGCCAGTACAAGGTCGGCGTGGTGGACATCTTGCGGGCAGCCAGATGCATGCACGCGCAGATGGTCAGCCAGAACGAGAAGGAGGGCACAGTCATGCGGTGTATGAGACAGGCAGGATGGTTCCACTACAGACCAGATACTGATGGACTTTTGCAGCCAGTGACGGAGGAAACTCAGCCGTGGTGCGCAGGGCTTGAGGAAGGCAGCGACAAGCTCCCAGGCAGCTACCTGCAAGACAGAGGCAAGTGGGTGCAGGATGGAAGGGCGCTGCCTTTTGACGAGGAGGACTTGAAGTCAGACCAGGCAGGAGAAGCGCTGCGAGTCGAGACAGACTACCTGACCAGCTTGGTGACAGGACAAGCGGCGGGCATGTGCTTCGAGTTTGCAGCCAAGCGCTCAGCTTTGGCAGACAGCGAGAAGCAGTTCCAGGAGCTAGTGGAGCAAGCGACGCACCCCAGCCAGCGCAGACAGAAGTTCTTACGCCAGGCAGGCGAGGCGCAGAGCCAGATAGTCAGGCAGAGGCAGAAGAAGCACGGGCGCGAGAACTTCAGACAGCGCGTCAAGAAGTGGAGGGAGGAGCAAGGCAGCAAGTCAGCAGCAGCGGCCTTGAAGCAGGTGGTGCCAAGCGTGGGCAAGAAGCAGACAGCAAAGAAGAAGGCGGCAAAGAAGAGCAAGGAGCAGAAGAACAGCAAGACCAAAGCCAGCGCCAAGCAGAAAGGGAGCTTGAAAGACAAGCCGAGCGCTCACCGCAAGCAGCAAAGAAAGGCAGAGGAGAAGCAAGACAAAAGAGCTCTGGCAGCAAAAGCCGCCCAGCAGGCAGAGGAGACAGCAGGGCGGAGGAAGGCATTGCCGGCAGACAGGCACGTGTGGTGGGGGAGAGAGCGCCGCAGTCTCTTCAGGGCGCTGTCGTGCTCTGCGTCATGCAGAAAGGAGAGGAAGTCCAGGTCAGACAGCAGGGGCAGACGTACTGGGTCAGAAAGTCAGACCTGTGCTTCGATGTGCGTCTCCCACAGCTTCCAGCAAGGCTGGACTACGCAGGTCAGCCAGCGTAGCGACCGCAGCCATGCGAGCCGTGCAAGATGTGGACTTTTACGACTGGGGTAGCCTCCTGACAGACAGCCAGGTCGTTGCAGGCATCCAGGAGGTTGCAGCCAGACTTGGGAAGCAGCCGGATGTGACCGTCTTGACGCTAGCAGAGGTCGAAGTGGTCAGCCAGGAGCGCACTTTGCCGGAGGAGCTGGTGCTGGAGGCAGGCACATGATTTGCGCTTGCCTGCACACCACGGGTCCTCTCCACTACACTCTGCTGTGCATGCAGAGAGAGGCAGACAGCCAGTGGCAGCTGCGGTACTATGACACCTTGCCCAGCCCCAGCCAGTCAGCCTATGAGAAGTCCAGGCAGCTGCTCAAGCTTGTTCTGGAGACAGCAAAAGCAGACACCCAAGGTCTGCCGGCCCCCTGCAACTTCTACAAGCAGAAGGATGGCTTCTCTTGTGGGCTCTGGGTCTTGCTCTATCTGGAAAAAGAGCTCAGGCAGTGGTCAGGAGAGGCAGCACAGGCCACGAAACCGGAACCGGAGAAAGTCGCAGACAGGCTCAACAGGTGGGTCAAGTTTTTGCTGACCAGCCAGGCTGTTGAGCAGATGAGGCAAGAGGCGGCAGCCGATCAGCCCAGTGCCAGGAAGCAGGAGGCAGCAGAGCCAGAGCCACCGTTGCCACCGCCAGCGGCTCCTCCAGGTCCAGGCGAGCCAGTGGAGCATGTGTGGGGGTGCTCCAAGTGCAGAGGAACCAAGACAGGCTGCAAGGACTGCAACCCAGCCAAGGCGCTGCGTTTTTATTCGAAGAAAGACAGAGAGGCCCAGGCCGCCAGTGAGACTCAGCCAGAGCCAGCACTGGCTTCTGCGAAGTCAGAGCCAAAGGCTAGTGCTAAAGCTAAAAGCCGAGGCAGAGGCAGAGGTAGAGGCAGAAGCAAATAGGCAGAGGCCAGCTTGGCACAGAAAGGGTCGCATTGTGTCCTTTCTTACAACCTATCAGGAAGGCAGATTTTAATGAAAACTTTAATTAGAAAGGGAGAGACAGACAGGGAACTTTTGAGACAGACAACTTTTGTGGTTTCAATGGCTTCCCCTGCAGGAGCTCAAGCTTGTGTCCATCAAAGTCAGCCAGATCGAAGCTAGCCAGGCTCAACTGAAGCCAGGCCATTAGTTTTTGCTGGGCAAGGCCTAGCACTGGGCTGGTGTTCCACATCCTAACTAACAAGGACAGCCAGGCAGAAATGAGCTTTTGTAGCCTGATCGGGACAAGCCCAGTGCATCCTTGCGTTTTGGGAACAGCCTTGCAAGCAGACAGGCATTGGGGGCAGCGGCTCAAAAAAAAAGAGTCAGGCAGCAAGGGGGAACAGTCTTTGGGGAACCCACCAGCCCACCTAGTTAATAGAAAGGACCCCATTTAAAAAAAAGGCAGGTCAGGCAGGCAGCTTGTGCTTGGAGACAGCGAGCGAGCCAGTGTGTTTTGGGATGGCTTCTTTTGGGGAACAGCCCACCTAGTTAATAAAAAAGGACCCCATTAAAAAAAAAAGGCAGGTCAGGCAGGCAGCTTGTGCTTGGAGACAGCCAGACAGTCCCCTTTTGGTTGGTTTTGGGGAACAGCTTTTGGGGAGCCCACCTAATTAATTAAAAAAAAGGACCCCATTAAAAAAAAAGGCAGGTCAGGCAGGCAGCTTGTGCTTGGAGACAGCCAGACAGTCCCCTTTTGGTTGGTTTTGGGGAACAGCTTTTGGGGAGCCCACCTAATTAAAAAAAAGGACCCCATTAAAAAAGAAGGCAGGTCAGGCAGACAGCTTGTTATTTGTCACTCGCTTTGGCGTTTTGGCCCTGGTCCAGCCAGACAGCAGGCCAGTCAGGTTCCCCTCAGCCAGCCAGTCAGTGCAGACAGCATGGCAAACCAGATGCCAGTCGAGTGGGACTACACGGCGCAGGCAGAGCAGCCAGGGCAGGCGGAGGTAGTCAGGCAGCTCGAGCTTCTTGTGGAGGAAGTGAGAGAAGCCAGGCAAGAACAACAGTCTTTCGTTTTTTTTTAGTCAGTCACTCAGCCAGTCAGTCAGCCAAGCAGTAATTAAGGAGCTCAACGTGGAGGTCCACATGATCGGCAAAAAGCTGACATGCCACGAGAGCCGCTGCGAGCCTTGGCAGGCAGCAGACAGCTTTGCCAAGGCATGTCAGACAGGTCTTTTGGGCCAGGCGGACAATCAGGCAGGTCAGGTCAGACAGGTCAGCTTTGAGGTTTGAGTAGTTAATTAGCCAGCAAGTCAGCCAAGGACCTGTACATGTCCATGCAGGCAGACAGCCAGCGACAGGAGCACAGGCAGGCAGGGCCGCCGTTTTCGTGGCTGGTCCTCTGCCTGCGAGGCTGAGAGCCAGATAGGCAGACAGCTAGACAGCTTGCCGCCATGGCCCGGTAGGGAGGCCAGACAGCTAGGCAGGCAGTTTAGCAGTGGAGGCCAAGTCATCATTTCTGTTAGTTCCTCTTTTTTTTTGGTTTGGGGAGTATTATTATCATTTATGTGTTGGAGCTGTTTTGTTTCTGTTAGTATAGTTATAATTCTTTATCATTTTTGTTCATTGGGGGGAACAGAAATGATGACAGCCAGGCGAGAGGCCAGGCAGGATTGGCTATAAGGGGGGAACAGAGCCAGGCAGGAAGCCAGGCAGAAAGCTACGGAGCCGCGCGAAAAAAAAGAAGTCAGGGAGCCAGGGACAACCAGGGACAACCTTTTGGGGAGAGAGTCAAGAACAACCTTTTGGGGAACCCACCAAAAGAACCCAACCTTTTGGGGAAGACAGCTTTTGGGGAAGCAACCTTTTGGGGAATTGAGGAACCCACCTTTTTAAAAGTGGACCTGGAAGTTTGCTAAAAGTGCCCCCTAATAAGGATTCCAAGACTTTAGTATTGGTTTAGTATTGGGGCAATTGAAAATCAATTGTACGGAGTGGAAATCTGGTCTCGGGCCCCGGATTTGCATTTATTATTAATTGGGGTCATTCATTAATTGGGGGAAGAGATTACAGGTCTCTCAGGTTTCCTTTGGTTCACGAAGCAGCTCGTCTGAGAATGGCTGCGGCCTTTTTGGGAGGGAACCCATTTGGAGGGGGTTGAAAGGGAAGTCAACAGGAAAAACAACCCAGCCATGTTGGGGTTGGTGTATGGGTTGGGCCAAGGTACAGCCAGTTGGTCGGCACCCTGGCTTCGGAGCTTCTGGTGCTTCTCGACGCGAACGGAACCCGGAAGTCATCTCTGCGTGCTTCAAGTTACCATTTTGGTAGGCAAGCATGGGGAACCATGATGCAAGATTGAGCACTGGGGCACTGGGTCTGGTTTCAAAGCAGGTTTGTTGAATCGGGCTCCATGCGCTGCAAACCAGCTTCCTGGTTCCCTTTAAGCCTCACCGCGAGAAGCAGCCCCGCGGACTGCGAGTCACTGAGGTTCGAGCCCTTCGCCGACAAACCTTCGCTCACCGAGCAGCTTAGAGGCCGCACCGCGTGGGGAGAGGTTCCCGAAGCAGACCTCAAACGATGATCGGTTTGAAATTGCATGGGCAACCGCAGGCAATGGATCACGGTTACCATATGGGTTTAAGACTGTCTTTTAGTTGCGGCCCCTGTCAAAGGGAGACAGCAAATTAAAAGTCGCCCGCTCGCCCAGTAGCACCCAAAATCCGAATCCACTGTGTGTTGAGAATCTGAGTTACAATCCTTTTTAGTCGAGGAGCCACTCATGAGCTGCGAAAATTGGGCGGGTCCTCCCTTGATTCGCTCCGCCAGGCCTTTGCTCTTTCTCGGCCCTGGGATGCGGTCGTCGCAAGTTCCTGGAGACCATGCGCCTTGACGATCAATGCGGGGTTGTTGACCTGTATGCGTTTTATATATATGTAAATTGCACATTCAATCCTCATATTTATGATAATATAGACCAAGTGTATCACCAACAAATATAATTGTTTTTATTCAAAAGATTCAATTATACTTATTGTGATAATATCTATAATACTGATTATTGTGAATTTAACGATTTGCCTTTTACAGTTGCTTGCTCTCTTGCCCCCTTGCCATCTTGCATGCCTGCCACTCATCCTGGGCTTGGATTGCCAACCCTACATTGAAGGGGTCGAAACTTATCAGAACTTTTGTCACGAACCAGTCAGGTCGCATTCAGGACAGCCCAGCCTTTTAAAGATGCGTTCTTAAGTAGGGATTCGGATGCTGGGCAAATTGTAGCGACCTCATCAAGGTTGCTGATTGCAACTCGAACACAATAAAAACATGGCACATGCTTTGCTCTGGTCGGTAATTTGCCACGATGAGTTCACCCGGGTTGCTCTTCCCAAAAAAACTAGGGCAGGAGCATGGTCCCTAGAGGAAAAGGATCTTCCAGGAAACGTGGGTGGAATGGTAAGGAACCGCTGAGAACTGGCCAACCTCTTTACGAATCGGTCGTCGAAGCAAAGCTTGGCGCTGACTAGCTTTTGCCCACAATGCATGGATCCTGTTTGTTTCTTCCAGCCTCATGTCTCACTCTGGGGGTTATCAACCCAGTTGTTTTAACGGAGAAGGACTCTTCGCCGATTGGGTTCTCGGCTCCTCTGTCCTGAGTGAACTCATTGGACCCGAGACGTTCGGCCTCGTCCCATAGGCGCCGCAAGATTCTTCAGGGCTGCTTAATAGATCTCCATGTTGCTTGACCATTTGAACCATGTGGCCTTTTCAACACCAAAATAAAGTTGGACACCACCATTCCATTTCAACCATGTTGCTTTTTCAACACCAAACTAAAGTTGGAGACCATCAAGTTGCAATGTTCGATCGGTGCTTTTCATAGGATCCCTGTGGAAGTTAGGAAGCTGCTGGTGGCCTACCTGGCCTGCTTCGCCCTGGGCCGCAGTGGCATCGGCGGCTTCCTGCCGCCTTTCAACTCCACAGCCCCGGGGACTGTGTCGTACCTCATCTTCCAGGCAGGGGAGGGGGGGCCCCCAAGCCACGTGGGGTTCGGATCCTCCTGGGGGAGTCCTGGCGCTTTTTTTTTGTTGGTTTCTTTGTGCCAGGGTCAATGGGCAACAGGGTGAAGAGGTGGGTCCGTAACTTCACGGCCCTGCCCCATTCATCCGTCTGCATGGAAAGAGTGGTCAGGGTTTCCAACTTGTTTCCCTACGGTTCACAGCCACCGATCCCTTCTAAACCCGGTGGGTTTCCTTTGCTTTTCCCCCATAGAGATCATTCATTTTTGTGGGACGGGCTGGGGAGGTTAGGATCATCTTGAACCTCAACCGTACTCGCCCCCCAAACAAAATATGGCACTTGTGAATTCTTTCCGTCCAAGAAACAAAACAAACCGCCAACAGCAACTCATGCTGCCCTTGTGCATATACCGGGAACCGATGGAAATGACTTGTGTCACGCGAGTTTAAGGTTTCTTGCTGAGAGGCTGAGAGGCTCGGTTGCCTCAGGGAAGCTTAGGAACATCTTTGGGGAGTGCCTATGGCCCTAATAGCCCCTTAAGCTGAGGAGTCGGGGGCTTATGCGGCGACCCACTGCCGGCCCATTGCCGGCCTGCCGCCAGGGTGGAGATCAGGCGGCGGCGCTGAAAAAGATGCTCGCACTTGGAGCAAAAAATGGGGACCTACAAGGGGTCCCAGCAGTTAGTATTGCAAGACCAAAGGCTTGCCTTTAAGGTGTTCCTTCAGTTGGTTTCACCGGGCAAAAGGTGAACGTCTTGCAGGGTGAGCAGGATAAGTAGTTTGTTTCAATTTTCGTTTCCGCTTTCACCAAAGTTTCGCCGGGACTTGTACGAGGTTCTCCCAAGCTCAGCTCAAGGAACTCGGATCGCTGCGGCCAAGGAACTCGGATCGCTTCATGGGTGTGGGGCTCGGCAGCCTCATGGGCGTGTTGCTGCTGGGGAGCTCTTGCGGCATCTCCTCGCCCGGGCTTCAGATGGAATTGGCGCGTTGGCATGTCAACGGTAAGACGATGTTTCATACAACCCCCCCCCTTCAAGAATGCCATGCGGGACCTGCGGAAAACCGGTTGACATGTTGAGGAGGGTTGAAGCCAAAGGAAAACCGCTCGCCCCAAATGGGCGCTCCCAATGCAATGGCATCCCCAAATCCGCAGGCCTCTCTTGACTAGGCCCTCGGCGCGGGCTGGGGAGCCCTTCTCTGGCAGGGTCTTGAATCCACTGGAATCCATGGGAACCTTTGATTCTGTTGATTCATGCAGGCGCGGTCAAAACCCTGAAATGCCTTTCCCAGAAAGCGAGCCATGTTGGAAAGGCAAGCTTCGCAATCTCAGATATACGCTATAGGCTGACATGTCAGTTGGGCAGCGGCACTGGTGACCTACTACGTATCAAGCGGGAGCAGGGAACTGACACTTTGTGAAGAGCAGTTTTATACATGGCCGGGAAGTGAGAACGCAGAAGTTCTGAAGGCAATCTATAAGGGCACAAAAGAATGGAACGAGGTTCTGGGGTACTTCCGAACTCACGATTGGTCATTTTAATAGGGATAAACTATGAGTAATTGCGTTCTTTATGAGTTGGTGAATCATTGTAGTTGACAGAGCGACGGCGGACGTGATAGTGGAATGGAATAGGCGGTCACCAACTTGCAATTCGGTGGAAGTTGAGTTTGGGATGTTGTTCGTCGTCTTCCCTTGAATCACTTGAAGAGCAACGCTAGCAAACAAACAGGGCTTCCATTTCATTTGGGCGGTCAGGCGAGGTTGGACATCTAGGTGGGCCCCTCTCAGGCGGGTCTTTTCCCCATCCCACGCCGTATGTTTAACCAGACCACATTTCTACGAGTCCCATGCCATTTAAGTGGTTGACACCATTTGACACTAGTGGTTAAGCAGCTTTTCTGCGTTTGAACTGGGTTACCTACAACGCAGGCAGCAAATGTAGGATTCCTCTTGGTGTGCCAAGCTGACTCCGCTGCAAAGCCCTATGCGACAGGAAAGCTCGCCCAGGCTCGTGGGGGTCTGGATGCAGGGGATCTTTCTCATCGCCTACTTTGTCCTGGAGTTCATGGGTTTTTATATGAACCTCGCCTGCATTGCACCGGATCCCATGGCCTTCCCTTGCCATTTGTGAGATGCATCCATTTCGCCCTGGGCCTCTCAAACGGCATAATTTTACTTTTGAAGGTGCATTGCAATGGACCGGGATCCAACAACATGTGATGTTGAGTTATGCAATCGCCGAGGTAGTCTAGTGAAATGCGGTCTGCTACCGGTCAACCCTTCCGAGCTTCTGGTTTCAACGATTGGTTTGGCCGCCCAACGCAAACTACTGCTTGGCATCCAGGCGTTTCACGGTTTCGGGGTTTCAGCTGGCCGTTTCCCTTTTTTCAGTCTCGGCAACGGTGATTTGCTTCAAGGGTTCTTACCTGGACTGACTGAAGGGCTTCAAGTGAAAGACCCGACAGCATCTTTTGTTGTTCAGTCAAGGTGGCTTGCTTGGCTTCTTTTCTTTTTGCACCTGGGGAGACATCTTGGCGGGTTTTGCCAAGAAGTTGTTTTTTTGAGTTCCAGATTCCAGGTACTTTGCATCCCCCAGCTTCTTCTACGTGGGCCTGATGTTTTGCTGCTTCTTTGCTTCCAGCGCGCTGGACAGCTGCAATCAATTGAAGTCAGACAGCTCCGAGCCAGCAAGCGAGCACGGGGATCGGGGAGCGAGCAAGGATGCCGGATGGTAAGACCCAAAAGGTGGTTTGGTTTGGATTGGTGGGGGTTTGAACCTTTTTTAAGGTGGTTCCTTGTTTTTTCTGTTTTTTTTTCTTGGTAGGTTTTCCCTGTACCGACTTAGGTCAGGTTGGATTGAGCCAGTTCTTGTTGAAGCTTGGGGAAGGCATTCGTCGAAAAACAAACGACAGTTCAGCAACGCAAGGCCCCCATTAAGGTTGGCCCACCCCACAACCCAAAAGAGACGGCAAAGCAAGGCAAATTCGATCCCGGTGGCATCCACATGTTCAGCGCAGAGCTTTGTGTTCAGCAAAAGGGCTTCTTGTTGCAAGCTGGGGCTACAGCTCAGATATTAGGCGCCCCGCTCTTTTGCGAAATCCTGCTGCTTTGGCAGGGCCGCGTCTTCCGGAAGGTCCACCCGCGTTAACTTGTGGCGATTCATGGATCCAGCTTGTCAGGCGGGGCTAGTCAGCTGCCCTCCAGCCGGCGCCCCACTTGGCCAGTTTTCTGGGTACCCGAATGCCGAGAAAATAAGACACCCCAAAAAAACTGAAAGGGGTATCCCCTTTTTAGGGTCTTCTAACTCAGTGCAGCGAAGTGCAGCGCTAGCAGTGCTATCTGGTTGGGAAACCAACATTTAATGAGGACAACACACTGCGGGCTGGGCCAAGTGTATGAACATGTTCAAACACTCTATTGTGAATGGATCTCCGTTAGAGAGGGCCGTGGTTTGCAGCCTGAAGCAGGGCTCCAGCGCCGTTCCTTTTTTTTTTCGGCTTTGAAGCGAGGCACCTCCAACTTTCAGAGCATGCTCAGCCAGCTCTTGGCCATCCTCATCGCTTCTTGGAAAGAGATGCCCTACAAAAGCTTCCATTTGCTGAAATGAATATATTTTTTCATTTTCCACTGTTGGTTTTCAAGGGAACCTATCACTACTGGATAAAAAAAATAAAAACCAAAAAAACAAATCAATAAAATCCAGGGGTCTTAACCAGATGGTGGGTGAGCTGAGTGGGGAATGAGTGGGTGGCACTGGTGGGAAGGGTGGGCGAGCGATGAAAGGTGTGGGAGGGTGGGTGGGATGGAAGCAACCCCAACAAAAATCACAGACCCCGAAAGTTTGGGGGGCAGAGACCCAAGTTCTTTTGGAGGGGATATATAGGCTGGGGGAAGTGAGGGGTGATGCCCTCAAGAAGGCTCAAGTGTGTGGGGGGAGGAGAAATGATTGAACAGCTTTTGAGTGGGAAGGGGTGACAAGTGTGAACACGTGGATTTGTAGCACCGAAGTTTTCGAGGTGGGGAGGGGGTCCACAATTTTTGTTTGAGACACCAGATTTGATTGGACGAAAAGGCAATAAAAAGGAACCCAGCCAGGAACCCAGACAGTTTTTTGGGTCACTGTTTTCAGAAGTATCTATTGGGCGGTGCCCCCGAGCACGAACAGTTAAACAAAGGCCATTTGTACATAGCACCTTAGCACAAAAGGGGGCCAGACCCAAAGTATCTAGTTTTATTGGGGGGTGTTGTTCGGATCTTGCTCCAGGACCGGCAAAAATGACCGCTTGTAGGCTTCTCAATTCTTCAAACTTTGGCACCGTGGCCTTCATTCACTTCATCGGGATGTATGCTTCTCACCTTGGGCGGTGGACCTTCGATATGTAAGTCAGGGTGGAATCTGAAGAGGCTCACCTGAGCCACAATCAAAACCCGGGTAGATGAAGGTTAGTAGGGGACACGTGGTTCTGGGTAGACCATTTTAATACCGGTTTTGATTATGACTCACCTCAGGTGTGCATCACATCTGCCCTTTTGCCTTTTGCGCGCGAGGCTACGCTGATGGATGTGACCACGGATAGGTCGTTGAGCATTCGAGCCACGCAAAACCTCGAAGCCTTTGTCGACGTCATGGACCGGGCTTTGGATACCTACCCCATCAGCAAGAGAGCCTCGGCGATGGCACGTGTTTCTTGAAGCAAACTTCAACCACGCTGGTTGATTTTTCAAATTGCCTTGTATGTTGCTACATTAGAGAGGGTTGTAACCACGACAAAGAACATGTTACAACGACAAAGAACATCGTTACACCGACAAGTTTCAGTGAAGACTATCCCGACACTACTACTACTACTACTACTACTACTACTACTACTACTACTACTACTACTACTACTACTACTACTACTACTGTTACTACTATTACTACTACTACTACTACTACTATTATTACTACTATTACTACTACTACTACTACTACTACTACTATTACTACTATTACTACTACTACTACTGCTACTACTACTACTACTATTACTACTACTACTACTATTACTACTATTACTACTATTACTATCATTATTACTACTACTAGTACTATATTACTATTATTACTACTACTACTACCACCATTCCCACTACTACCACTGTTGCTCTTACTACTGCTACTATTATTACTACTATTATTACTATTACTAATATTTCTGTTATTATTACCATTCCAACCATTACTACTATTACTACTATTATTACTATTACTACTATTACTACTACTATTACTATTATTACTACTATTATTATTATTCTTACTACTATTGCTGCTACTACTACTATTAACTACAACTACTACTACTACTATTACTACGACTACAAT